CTTGAATTCCGAGGTCTTCATAGGGGGTAAAGACGGGGCAAGCCATCGAGGAGAAACAAAAGGGGCGGAATACGAAGAGCAGGACATTGTTATTCAACGCCACTATGCAACACTGGTAAGCCTTAGACGGACTCTCTCCATCGATTCGGCAATGCATGCTCTGTGAAGTACCTTGTGTCGTTATCACGGTAGACATCACCATGGCTTCCTCACGTACAATGCTATATAAGATTGAGCCACACGTGGCGCGGCCTTGCTTGGAGCTTATGCTTCCTCGTGATCAGCTTCTTTAAGGACTACAATCGCTCATTATACTCCGTTCAAGCCTCAACGCACTCACCGCTCTCGTAGTTTTGCCTAGTGCAATCATGTCTAAGAATACTATAGTAGAAAGTAGCGATCTATTTTATAATATAAAAGAAATTAAGTAAATTATTAAATAAAGTTAAGATCCTAAAAACAAGTTAATATTATTCTTCTTTTAAAAATTATTATAAATATAAGATCTTATTTTATTAATAAATATTAAAAATATATATATATAAAAAGTTATTAAATATATTTTAAGTTATAACCTTTTATTTATCTTTATATTATATTTATATATTTAATAGAATACTTTCTTAGTTTAATTAATAAAAGTAAAATACTTAATAATAAGTTACTTTATATTATAAAACTAAACTTCTATTAATACTTACTAAACTCTAATTACTTCTTCTCCATTATAGAAAGCTCTAGGGCACTAGCGTGTATATATCTAAGTATCCCTATATATCCTTTCGGATTACGCCTAGCGTGGCTTGGCGCCCACATGTTAGAGCTACACCACATTTTAGATAGGAACCTTTATCATATTCTACCTATATTATATTAAAGCCTCCTAGCTTCCAGCTGTTGCCTTACATCCTCTTTCGCACAAAATGTCTTCGCTATTACCATCAACTCGCGGACTCCTTTCACGAAGAGCCCGTATACCGTGTGCGCGGCGGCGGCCAGTAACCTCAAGCACTAGCATTCGCAACGCTTGGCAACCCTCTGGCTCTAAAACTTACTTGGATGACTTCGACACTCCACTGATAGAATATGAAGATGGTGTTAGATGTCGAAATAGATATGATGTCGCTCACGGGATTTTCCCATTTCCAAAGTCACCGGAGGATTGTCGCGATGGAGGATATTACTTCGTAAAGCTAGGTGAGAATTTACAAAGCGTAAGAACGAACTACGAGATTGTCAGCAAGCTTGGATATGGCCGTGATGCTACTATATGGTTAGCCAAGGACCTCAGGTGACTTGATACTCCATGGCAAGAACGATGATTTGCGCCTTACTCATACTCGCTTGGCTGTAGTGACTCACGCTATGTAGCGATTAAGATTTTCAGGTCGTGTCTTGCCGCACAAGCGAGAGAGCAAGCGGCGACTCTGAACAAGCTCCTGAACATGCCATTCGTTAATCGCGGCAGAAAGCATATTCCCGAGTTCCTAGACTGCTTCGAGACACGTAGTGACCACGGGCGCCACATATGTCTAGTCACCGAAGCGCTTTGCAGATCACAGAGAGGTGGCTTCTCCTTTGCAACAGGTGCCTAGTATATATCGAAGCAACTCGTAGAAGCAGTGGCTCATATGCACAGTTTGGGCGTCGTTCATGGTGGTGTGTTCGTTCCATAAAGACAAGAACAAGGATGAAATTAACCTTTGGGCAGATATTCGTCAATCAAAAGTTCTTCTAGAGCGCCCGGATGAATTTAGCTATGACTCTGGTAGGAGTATCTTCGCTTCCTAGACCGAGGACATTGCTAATCTTCAAGCCTCTATTATTAAAAAATCTGGACGTCATACGCTAAGAATAAATTCTGTCGTTAAGCTTGTTGGGTTTGGCCAAGACATCTCTTCATTAAATTTCGAAAATCCTGCTAACACCGATGCACTCTTTTACATTGCTCCTAAAGTCATCCTTGATGGAAATATGGGGCCCAGCGGCGACATTTGGAGCTTAGGTGTTACGGTATGACACCTCAAACAGTAAGATGATGGTCGAAATTGACGTACTGCGATAAGATATACGACTTAATGTGCGGCTCTCACCCGTTTCATTACTGTGACCTCACGAGCAAAGCTGGGATTATCAATACGTGGATGACAGTGTTAGGTTCTCTTCCAGAAGAGTGGGAAAGACACACGCCGTACCGGGAGGACGATTGTGAGTTCCGACACCAGATGTTACCCACCTTATGTTAGGTCGAGCTGACATATATGGTAGTGCCCGCACTAGGCGAAGAAGACCTCACAGGATGGATGCCAACCCATATTGAAAACTTTGGTAATCCTTGGAAGCCATCGCCACAACGGGACGTTGATTGCGCACACGAGCTCCTGACCTCGATGATACAATATGAACCATCAAGACGCCCAACGGCGGTCGAAGTGCTCCAGCATCCCTTCTTCCGAGGTTGTCCAGAGCCTGACATAGAGGCGAGTTGATTGTCTATGCAAAAATATCTGGAGACTATCGAGTGCCGCCTTCTTCAGTCCCATGGAGACGAGCAGAAAGGCTTGGCAGGGTGCTATAGTCTATATATTTGCGCACTTTAGGGAATCACAACTTATCGAGAAGGTTTCGCGTGGGAGATGCTGGGCGAGTCTTACTGCGAAAAATGCCAGAATAGCAACGTTGGAGCAACAATAAGATACCTCCGGTTGAAAAACATATACGACTTGATCATCAGCCCTCTGCATATGCACTTGGTCAGGAACAGAAGAATGGATATGACCTATTGGCGGCGTTCAATTCAAGCGCAAGGTAAAGCGCTTATATTGCGCTTGGATCTGGATCCTGAGGTATATTCACCTCCTTCAGAACCTTTTCAAGATCATGAACTAGAAAGCCAGCGTAAAGTCTACACAAAACTTTCATGATCTGCCTCATCCAGTGCGATGTGTCTACGCTCCAGTGTATCCAGCGAATTCGCTGCTTGTCTCCCCAGCTACCCTCCCGTTCTTCAAGTTGCTCCCCCAATTCACGCAAGCAATTTACTGCCAATCGTCCTTTTCACTCGTTCTACATCCATTCCGTCCATCCATGAGTTTTTGGTTGCGCACAATGCGCCTGCACACTCTTCATCTGCGTCGTACACCTGTTCCTCGTAGAACAAGCAGTCCTACAAGCGCTCACAATAGTCGTAAACAGTATTTCAAAATGGATGCAGCGTGAAAGAGAAATGATGCTGAGAGGACTGAGACCGCACCAGCCGTATAGATAATTGCCGTCCCCTGTGTCGTCAGACCTCGTCCTGTCAGCCGTAGTTCCTCTCGAGTGGAGAGTCGGAGTAAGAAGGGAGATGCGGGAAGAGGAAGGAAGGTGGAAGAACGTACAATGCGCGTAATCCAGTGGCGACACAGTGACAGAGACTGTAGGAAAATTCTGATGGGTGGTGCTACAGTTGGGTTTATGCAAATCGCGAATCGCGAGGCTAAGGTTGATTTTGCTGGGGTGAAAGGAAAATGGGTCAAAATTTAAGGAATTGCCATGGCGAGGGGGAAGTAGGAGTAATTGCTTACGTAAGACGACCCATCTTTATACCGACAGTAATTACAGCCACTTGTGCTGTCGGTATTTGTAAGAAACCCTGTGGCGCTGGCAAGAGACTCGCTCGCATATTGCCCACAGGTCATATTAGCCGGAGGCTGAAAGACGGAAAGCTTATCTTCTAAGCATGTGAGATTCACTCCCTCAAGCGCGTTGGTGGTAACTGCATCACCAAAGTACAGCAAGGGCGAGACGCTATAATACCAATTCCATCCCTAGGGCGTTACGGGCTGCGGGGGTAGTGTGCCTGCGAAAGTATTGCAGAACATTAAAAAGAAGTCGTTGGCCATGAAAGTCGACTGAAGGTTAGGCATCGCAGCCGCGCACAGCTGCGCTAGACTCGTGGCAAAAATTCCAAACAGTTCGAACATGAGGAAGCTAAATCCCGCCCAGCAAGACGATTGTGAGGTATCCGGTGGGGTAGTACTATAGGAGCCAGTAGACTAGGCTGGGGAGTATTACCCACGGTAGCTCGATAATGATGGCGCAAAGAACGAAGATTGTCCAATGATATGTATAGCTGGATTTTTCACGTTGCATGAATATTTCGCGCAGACCGACGAAGCGTGGCTCAACTTGCAGTCCGAGTGTAAGGCCGATATTAAGAGCCATAAAGGCTGAGAAGATCCAGTGGTAGGCGCCGCGCTGGTCAGCGCTGAATTGGACGTAGGTCATGGAATTGAGCAGGGAATTACCGACGTTCAAAAGGAGCTTTGATGTGGGCTCGCGCCAGTAAAAGAGCCATGTGCGGCGTAGAACGACGGTCAACTGGTTGAAGAAAGTTGTGGCATATATTCCAGTCCTCTTCTCGGGAGTAGAGTCATCGGACGTCGAGGGTGTTGTGAGCTGATCGAGCGTCAATCTTCTCTTCTTACGTCTGTCGCTGTCGAACCACAACTGCGCCCAGTTATACGTTACACGCATACATCCACATATGCTCGATTCGGCATTGCATACTCTATGAGGTACCTTATGTGCTTATCACCGTGGACATCACCGTGGTTTTCTTATATATAAAATGTTTTATAAGATTAAGCTATATATAGAGCAACCTCTTTTCTAGCTTATACCTCCTTATTATTAGCCTTATCAGCTTCTTCAACGACCATAATGACTTGCACCAAATTCCGTCTAAGCCCCAACGCATATATCGCTCTCGCAGCTTGGTTGCCTCGAAGCATTGCCTGGTGCAATCTTGTCTAAGACTATCATTATGCAAATTCGTACGTTGCACAAAGCTGCCAAGAACGCCAAGATCTAGCCCTACCTTATCTTAGCGCCACCTTATCGGAACCTTATCTTCCGTTTACAATTGAAAGCTTCAACCTCAATAGCTCACTTCTGCAAGCCCCAGCTCCTTGCTTTCTCAACCTCTTCACCCTGGCCTTCGAACGCCTCGTAATGTCATGCCTTCATGTGGTGAGCTCGCTGGACCCACTTCATCGCGTCGTACAGCAGCAGACACCTTAGAACCTGACCCAAAACGAGCGCGTCGCTCAGTGCAAGCGGTCAGTACTTCACCTCGACCGATAACACCAAGGCTCACTAGCACAAGCAGATCACCGTAGAACCAGTGACAAAATCCAATCAAGATCCTCTAGACTCGGACTACAATTCTAGTCATTCATCGTCCTTACGCCAAGTGAGTACTATACCTAATTGATCCCGAAGTACACACACGTTGATGCCGACCAGCCCACACCCCCTTCTCCTTCTACCAAGTCTACGAAACGTAACAATCCTTCCTCTCCGGCCCTGTGCTCTTCAAAACGAAGTTCACCTTCACCGAGCTCAGCCAATCCTCACCGCCATCACACCGTTCCCCTCCACACATCTGAGCACGACGGCATCAAAATAGCAACCACCACCGAGGATCAGAAGACCAAAACCATTGACCTTACAGAGGAGCATTCAAAGGACAGCGTTTGCGAGAAGGAGTCTGACTCTACTGCGCCAGAAGAGCCCAAATACTTTCAACCCAACTGGTTCGCAGACAGTGAGTCTGAGCAAGAGTCTGAATCTATCGAGCCAGAAGAGCCCGAGTACTTTCAGCCTGACTGGTTCGCTGACAGCGACTCCGAGAGCATTGGAGTCAATATGCCACCCAAGAAAGATGCCTCAACGCCAGACGAGGCACGTTGTGCCCTGAAGGATCAAAATATCTATTTCAATGATGGGGGTGGACTGCGACGCGGCGAACATCTAGTCAAATGGGCACACGGAAAGGTTCTTGTACAGGAGCGGGGGTCTCCTACGGCGGCTCAGAAGGGGCCGAAGATTCAGCATGTCGCTGAGACTATGTCAAAGATGGGTGAAGCCGAATTTCAGATGGTCATGCTGCAGGTCTTGCTGAACGAATCACGCATGGTCCTTAAGAAAGACCCAAGTCGTCCCCCAGACAAAAAGCTCACAATCGACGACTTCGAGCCCGATCCGCGTGCATATACAGCCGATTGCCTAGGCCGAAAAGCTGAAGCACAATTTGAAAAGAATGCAGTGCCGCAGATCAAACCCAGTAGCGAAAACAACTTTGCCGCCATATTCAAGGCTTTCCCTAATCTGAAAGACCCCAAGGCAGATGTTACATGGGCTATCAGCGAAGACCTGCTTGCAGGCTATCGTGGACTACGTATGATATTTGAAAATTGCGGCATCTCGCGTCTCACGAAGCAGCTTTATTTCCCGTTCTTTTCAGGTGACTTCAAAACCAACAATCGGCCCATCGCAGAGGCAGAAAATGAATGTGCCCGTATGGGCAGTGCCATGGTGTGGCATCGCCACCAATGGAATGAGGTCGCCGAGGGTAGACCAATTCCGGAGCTCTCAGAGGACATGGCGGAGGTGACCGAGTACGACGTCGCCACTCCAGATTTCGCATCCGTATGCTTCACCGGCGCCATCGCCCCCAATGCTGCTATGCTGTTCGTGAATTGGAAGGAGGACTGGAGCAATGGCACTATGTACTTTCACACCCACCGCCTTGTGTCTCACAACCTCGCCCCTTCCTTCGACAGCTCCGCCGACGAATTCCAGAAGCAGTTGAGCAATATCATCGATTGGGGAGTCGGGGAGTGGGCGCCTGGGATCTATGACCAGGCTAGGAAGATTGCGAGAAGAGTTTCGCCAGGAAAACCGGACATTGCGATTCCCGAAGTCCATCGTCGTGAGTATAAGTGAACGAGGGCGTCGGGGGGTGGAGAAAGACCCAAGTGTTGAGGACGAAATGTTTCCGAGCGGAGTTGACTTGCGGCAGGTGGACGTGCAAAGTTTGTATTACCAGCTTTACAGCGAAGGAGTCTGGATTCGAAAAGGATGATACCCCAACGGCGGCTTGCTAGGCATCGACTTTGAATGTAACCATAACAATAATATCTGTGAACAAATCTCATCCTGCGCTTTCTATTTGCCACCCCTTACTTCGTCTTTGTCCCTCACGCCAGCCTCTTTCACTCTTCTTCCGGAGCTGCGAAGAGTAGTAGAGCTTCTGCCTCTCCTTACCTTAGCCAGATCATACTGCGAACTTGTCTCCAACATCCCTCGCCGCTTCAATCGCGCCGGTCATTCGCCTTCATCTCTACCTCCGCCTTTCCCCCTCCATCATCCCTGCAATTCTCGAGTCCTTCACCCGGAAGTAGCGCTCGATCGATTACCACCCCGAAATCACGACCTTCTCTTCCACCTTGATCTTTCCTTCCCTATCCTCTCTTCAACAGCACGCAGGCCCCAGGCGGTTTAGTACGTCCAACCCCTTCTTCTTCTTCTTCCACTCTTTCACCTCCTTCATTGCTAACATCTCGTCCATCGCCGTCCCATTCCCCCGCTATCGCTGCCACCGCTGCTGTTCCCCCCCTCCCCCGCCGACCCCAACCCTTCCCGCTCTCCTCCAAATATTCGAACATAATAGCCTTCCATCACAGTTCCCAACCCGGCAGTTTTCTCCTCATCTTTTCCCCCTCCTCCATTGGACTAAGCCAAAGGCTAAATCAAGAATGGAAGTGCGAAGTTCTAGACTTGGGGCTAAATCCGGGGTCAGATGTACCAGCAAGCTTGAGCGATGCCCAAGTTTGGAGACGATGGGTAGAGAGCTTAGGTAGTGGAGAAAATTGATGATGGTTTAAGTAGACGTTCAAAAAGACGAAGGCGCCGAGGGACTTAGGGCCTTGGAAGAAGGGAGGGAATGGGATTAGCGCGAAGGGGCGATGAAATGATGGGAACACTGAAGTCAAAGGAGGGTTTGACGAAGTGAGGAAGTAGGGGAAGACCATGCTGGATGGCGCGCCCATCATCCTCAGCGTCCTTGTTCTCGCAGACTCGCTGTGGCGCGTCACAATCTTCGTCCTCTCGCCTCCCCAAAAGCCCTGGACTTTCTAATTTCAAGCTTTTCAGCCCTAAAGCAAGGATTGATCGCATTGACGCGCCTTGTAATGACCGTCCCACTCTGCTGGGTACAGAATGACGCTCCTCCCTCTTCCCCTCTCTCTCAAAGTCCGCAAATTTCAGCCTCCTTAGTATATTCAAGCCGCAACCATGACTCCAACGATGGCGTAGCGCACGGCACGCTCACCCTTGCGACAACCATCTTTCTCCCCTACCTCGACGGCGTGCCTTATTCTCAATCAGGTCTTCCAGCGTACGTGACTCTCGCTCAGGTGAGATACTAGTGCGTGGGAGCCTTTTTCATGCCAGTATTGATGTTGAATAAAGGAGATGGGGTACTGGGGGCGCAGTAGTCGAGAGGGCATGGTCTTACGAAATCGGCTTTCCCATACCTTCACTAATGCTGGGGCACTTGGATATAGGCTACGTGCTGTTGAATTTGTGGGTGAAGGATATTGTTCTATATCTGCCTTAATGACTGGTAAGTTATGCGCGACGACGAATGGGGCTGCGAGCTAGAAGTCGGTGATAGATTTTTTAACTTGTTGATATCGTTTGCTGAGGTCTTTGCGCGCTGATGCCCGGCTGAACGATCGGCGACAGGTATTTCGACGCGTTACTGACCGACGCGCTTTACAAGCTGTGAAGGTGGCTGTGGTTTTGCTTGCTATGTACACAAGACGTCGAGCAATCAATTAAGCAATCGCTAATAAGCACTAGGTACTCGAAGTGACGAATTAAGCTGTTGCACGGCAGAATGTACACTACTACTTGTTCCGTGACCGAGGCCTAGCCTTGAAAGGGGGTATAACGATCAAGCCATATTTCAAAGGAGAAAAGGAAGAAGTATGATGGGTTGAGAAGGCGTGAGTATGCAACGCATGGAACCTATAAAGCAAAGGAGCTTCATTCCCACAATAAGGTTCAGAGATTGAAGTTGCCAGAGATTACCTCGCTCCTAACTGCTAATTCACCTCCCAGGCCTATGAGACTCTATGGGCCCAGGATGTATCACCATGTATGTCATCTATGCAAGGCTCGCAAGTGGAAATGTTCAGGGGAGTTGATGCGACGTACTTCTAAATTCTGACGAAGTGAATGTCTGCAGAGATGGCATGGGAGGTATGTGTGAGTGCACATCTGCAGTGGAACATCTCCAAGGGCTCTGTGTGGAAGGGCTATAATTCGTGAAAGAGTAGCCGACTAAGGTGAGCGTGAAGGTTACAGCAAACTTAATCCAGTCTTGTAGCATACAGCTCTATGACGTGGGTCTGGTGCCTGCAATACTTACAGCGGTGAAATGTGGTGGAAGTCACCTTCTCGCAATTCGTCCCTGTCGAGCAGTTATTTACTTGACAAATATGTATTTGCAACATATACTTTGCAATCCAAACCCCTTCATCCACAAAGATCGTCTTGCTTGTCGCTTGACCCTCCTTTTCTCTCCTTACCGTCCATTCCTCAAGACTTCCCCCCAACTTCATTCGCCTTCTGAGTGATCTGATGACGGCACCTCCAAAAGTGCTATTCCTTCCGCCCGACTTTTTCCCTTCCCCTCCTTCTTTTCAGCTCAAATCCAATTATCAGCGTCACCTACCTATCTCCTTGGAGTGGAAATCAGGCTAACGATACTGATAGGAATACGAGAAGTCTTGAATCGATCGACCCTGCCCTGGCGGTCGTCCAATAGAATAATGCCGCATCACGATCACAGCGCTGCTCTACCTGGAGAGACTTAGTTCGCCTTCGAAACATCTAATTTGAAATTCTTTTCAACAATATGAGGTCACTCAAGGGGGTTGTCCGCCATTTCAATCTTGACTCGACTAGACATTGGTGATACGGCGCGTGATAGATCTACAGAGACTACAATTCATACTTGATTTTTGTTTGTAGAATCTCTATACCCACTAACGTCATTGAGTATGGTTACTTCGGAGCAAGTAATGTCGCAAACAAAAGCATTTGCCCGTTCGAGGCACCGCTCGTTGACTGGCAGTAAATTGACCGCATTAAGACGCCTAGGCGTCAAATCACTCGACTCACATCGATCAGACAGACTAACGCCTCCATTGTCTCCTAGTATCTCGGAGTTTCTAGGTTCTGATGTCCGATGGTGGTCCGATCCACACTCAATTGTGTAGACGAACCGAGAATGCCCGGTGAAATTTGCAAATCTCCTGATGACCCACCATACCACAGCAAAAGTGTGGAGGACTTTGCAAATAAACAAGTCTGTATGGGCAGTACACTATAGCTTGGCATCTCACATTGCCGAGAAAGTTGGTTGTCTGCTCCAGAGTCTTAGTTCGGCCGAGGACGTCCGAGCAGACGGGTTGGGGTGAACCATGTGATCTCAGCACATGAGCGATCAATGACGAACTATTTCTCTTAGCTGATATTCAAGGTGGGTATTACAATACACATATAGAGAGGCTCCTATGTCCCTTTCAAATCCTGAACAGTATTCGAATCCTTGCAATCAGACTAACAATCAATCTCAGCTCTGTGATATCAGCCTTAGAGCCACATATCGAGACCAACATGAAACCTGCTTTGTTGCTTCCCCTACTAAGTAATCTTGCATTTGGACTTCCGACCATTGGCAGTGAGGATGGACTACTCAGTCCTCGTTTTATATACTCTGTATCTTTCGCTTTCTCGGAAAGCTACAACAAGTTGGTCGCTGCGGTGAAAGTAGTGGACACTATCGATGGCTGTGCGGATAGTGACCAGAGTGCAAAATGCAAGGATGCCCCAGTGAGAAATCATCTTCCCATTACCGCCAAATTGAAAGCAATTTCTGACACCGCACCGAGAGCATTCTTGTCGATCAGTACAGAAATGTCCCGAAAGCTCCTGGGATCGAGAGCGCGGCTGGCTATGTCAACAACAGCCCTTACGAAGATGTTAGTCTTCCCCTCTATGAATATGCGACTAAGCTATGGCTTTTGACTTTGCGTACACCTTGCAGGATTCTTGTGGAATAATAACTCCAGCAATCAAGGAGGTAAGGCTTCTACACCTATCAACTTTTTGCTCTTGTCTGCAATTTTGCGTAATTAATCACGGCAAAACCTAGTTCGCCAACGACCTAGAGACCTTGAACAATCGCATCATCAGCGCGTATTGCAAAAAGGAGCGATTGGATGATACCAAGTTTCTCGACGGCATTGTCGATGCCGCTAGGAAAGTTGTGAGCCCATACCTAGTAGATGAGCCCCTTTCTCTAAGGTCTATGGACCTATGCGTAGTAGTGCTAACATTGTTCAAGGACTTTGAGGATGCGCTCAGTAAGAAACAACCTTCTTGTGATATCACGCAGCAGACAAGACAGGTCAGAGCTACTACAGCCAAGGTTGTCAACACGCTGGGACCTATTGTCCCGGCCAAACCAGTGGTATGCTTGCGGCTGAACCTGAAGACTTAATGTCTATGGTCATTGGTGGAGTCAAGGCTGAGTTTCGAGGGGAGCTGCGATGGAAGTAAGTCATATACAAACAACTGTATGACGAGTGTTTCAACAACACCGTAGTAGATTGATAGCAAAATAACACGTACCTTACTACCTATATCCGCGTGATCTCCCAGCTTAGCTTTGCTAGCGCTGAATTGACTATCTTTCGTTGAGGAAGGCAGCCATTTCTTGCACCATAACAAAGTAGTTGGCTGCTTTTCGTCGCTTGCACTGTAATCTGGAATCAAGTGGAAGAAAAGACGACCCCAAAACCTTACCGCTGATTCAATTTAACACAGCTGTCGCTGGCAGCCAGAAGATAGAGCGTGATGTTTGAGCGCATCCACAGCGAAGAAGAGACGCAAGTCCAAGAGTGACGCGCGCTCAAAGGCCTGTTCTGCATAATTAAAGCCTTACGCAAGACCGAACTCTGCTGACGAATGTCGGGTTCATCTCCCTATGATTGCCTCTGTTCGTCGACAAGTCGCTTTGCTTGTACGATCCGACATCGGCCTTGTGTGGTTATTATATTACTGTATTCCTAGTCGATTTTTGACCACGTAAAGTCATTCCAGCCTCGCCGACGAAACCAACGTGGATTTCGTCTCAATAGTCACCGTCCTTTCCTTCGCGGGAGAGATAGCGGCTCTTGGTTTCTTCTTCATGACTATCGCACGCAAGAGAAAGAGCAGATACAGTGGCAGGGTTTCGCCTCCAACGTCTGAGAAGGGGTTTTTGGGTGGCAACTTCACTGCATTGTAATGATGGTGTGGCTTGAGCAAAGGAGGATAGAATGGAGAAGATAGCCTAGAGCGTGAGGTTGGCCATATTGGTGAATTTCAAGTTCAAAGGAGAGGCTACCAATCATGTCGGTGGTTCAAGATCAGAAGAGAACATCGCTAAGATCGGCGAACGACGGAGACATGTGTCTGGCCGACCTTCACCTAAATTGCCCTCACCCGTACTAAGTGATCGCCCAAGTGTGACCTTTAGAAGGTACTCGCCTGAAATCAATAGGCTAATGAAGACCACGGGTCCGGCATGTGAGGTCAGAGGCTTCAGCAAAACCTGATGCTAGGATTGTGAAAAGCTATGCCGCGTCCGACATCGCTATTCGGTCCGAGAGGTAAATCTGAAGATGGCCTCGAGGCGCGTAGTCTTTTCGCCTGATTACGGCATACGCTACCGTTTTTGAAGGTGCTGGCATAAAAGTGGTTGATCAAGTGGGTAGCTGAGTCCGTATCAACGAGGGATTCTCGTTAATGGCTCTATCCCTGTAATCGACTGTTCTCCCGACCGTGGCTTCAAATTTTTTTTCCTTGGCTGAGAGATGCTTTGATTTGATTTCGCGTGTGCCACGATCATAATAAACCGAGCCAATTCCAATGCCCTGTCGTTCGTTACAAGTTCGCGAGTCATAACTAGCGCTTGTCACGTGGAAGGGGCACCTACCATTCTGCAAGAAGTGCGTTGGCCTTGGAGGGTGATGTCTCGACCTGTGCATCATCCGTGTGAGAAGAATGAAGAAACAAGCTTTAGATGAGAGCACGTGCCCATCTCATCATTTCGCGATCACTGGCACTAGGAACATGAGATTTCCTCTAGTGAGCCAAGTTTAGATTTGACTCGACCTTCTTGATTCTCGATCTTAGTCATGTTACGAGTTTGAGTGCAGACACGTGTTTGGTACATCTAAGTTGCAAGGGACATTGTACCACCTTCAGCAATAAAGATTGATAAGATCGCAGACGTGGGAGGGTCTGATGGCCATAATGGTGAGTGCAGAGGCTGCGGCAGCTGTGATTGAATGAATACAGATTGTGTGAGCGCAACGGCGATGAGGTTTGCAAGAATCCAGACTAGGATGCCATCTGAGGAGCTCCAAAGTCCTGAATATGAGATCAGTTATTTCGACCTATGGGCGACTGAATGTAGAGATATGTGTGTGCCTGGCATTTAGGTACGTCTCGGACATCGTGGCCGATCATATCCGTCGGGGGTTTTGGCGATTTCATTGGAGCCGGCCGTGACGATCTACAGCCACACCACCATACTCATGCAAGATGGGTATCATGTGGGGTTTGCAGATCCCGGTCCTGCGAAGTTAATTTATCCCTGAGTTTCATTGGCGCCACCATTTGCGTGTTGATCCCAAGACTCGTCGGCTCAGGCCCATTTCCTAGAATGGCATACCTATGATCTATATGATATTTATAGATATATCACAAGATATGAGGAACAATGTTGCCGTTGAGAGTTCGGATGAAATCGGTTAGCATCTTCTGTATCTTGAAAAAGATCTGGGGATAGTATTGCTAAGACTTGTTGCAGGCGTTGTGAGTGTACGAGCGCTATGAGAAGGGAAGGGCCGCGGCGGCGGAGATGAGACGGTCGTGGGCGAGCAGGTCTTGGTGGAATTATAGAGGTTTAGACTGGGCTTGTTTACTCCTGCCGCTGCTGATAGTAAGCATGTGAAGAAGCCGAGAACAGGAGTCTGAAGGGCAGGATCGATGGGAATTTGGGCGTGTTTTATCGGTGCGAGAAGAGAGACGACTTCTCCTGCCGGCAGTGAAGTGACTACTGTTTCCGTTGAGACTGTTTCCGACTCGAATGACTGGTCGTCCTGCGATTGCATAGATTTTTGATTATCGTTTAATTCTTTTCTTAATTTGATTACTCAGGCCATGGTTCAATGTCCGAAAGCCTGTCGCTTTCGTCCGAGGGGGTGAGACGTTTTTCAAACGGACTTTGTCGGTCTCCTGTTGGCAGTGTTGCGCCAGAGCAGCCATTCCCAGATGCAGACCGTCGCTGCTCCTCTGAAGAGCCCCCTCTTTCGTACCGCTTGCGCCAACGTTGCTCAGACTCAACTGCGGAGATGATGAGCTGGAGCCGCTAGGCTGGGCCTGTCCTCTAAAGGCCATTCAGCCTTCTCTCCATCAAGGGGGAAACCGAAATCAGAACGTATGACTGTGATGGAAGTCGTCGTCTAAGCACACGATTATGGATGTGGGTTAAGATGACAAGAATCTATGAAGAGTCGATTTAACGCGCCTTAACAATTTCGTTAGCCAAGCATCATTCAAACTCCAGCATCGTGCTGATCAGCGCGCCACAGGATTAGTGAAGCCAAAAGATTTTTCAGTCGTAATGATCTGATGTCCGTCATGGACTGTTTCTAAAATTCTTCACAAAGCTGCGGGATTTTTCAGCCGCAATGGAGAGCTCCCACCCCAGCAGCGCACTTGAAGAGCCCCCAACAGCTGCAGCAAAGTCCGAGCTGTAGATACTACTCTTCTATCGATCCTCAGCATCCTTCCGTCCTATATCTGCGGCGAATCCATTATGATACCTATGGCCATGTCGTACCGCCTTCCAGAGAATTTGCGCCACCAAGAGTCTAGATCTGATGCAGACAGCCAAGCTCTAATGCCAAATCAATTATCTGAATTGTACACTTTAGCTTGACGAGCGCGACTTTAAGCAGGGGTGCACCCATGAAACTAAGACCGCAGATGAAAAAGGGGTTTCGAGGAAGCTGCATTGAAAGAGAAGTCATAGACCTCTTTCGTGTGTGAATGATTGAATGTTGTCGTGCGCTATTAAGAGGCCTGGTATACTGCGCATTATGCTGAGATTTCCACATTGAGAGCGGGGAAGAATTAGAATTTGCTTGTAAAAGGCCTTGGTCGATGATCTGCATGCCGCTCAGTATACGAATAGCACCGCAAATGTTGCGCAGTGGCTGTCCACGACTTTCTTGAGGCAGTATGAGACCGTCAATGCTTCTTTGGACAACTCGAAAACCGAAGTCGACATATAAGCCTTCGAACCTCACTTACCTAAGCTCGGTTGCTGACGCTCACTCTGAGCACATTGAGGTGAGTGACAGCAGCCTGCAAAGATTCGTTCCTGCTTCATTCACTTTCACAACACATTTGAAGTGTTGACTTGAGTGACCCCGCTTTTTCAAGCTTCTTTCAATTTCAACTCTTACACCACTCTTGTCTCTCCATCATCATCATCAGATCTTTCTGCCCCGTTATCTATCGAGCTTCCTGCATCGGACTCTTACACAGTCCTTCAAATCGATCATGTATCCGCCATTCTTCCCAGACCGCCTTCATTGTTGGTATCCCGTTGGCAATACTCCAGCCGTCGACTTTTTCAGAACGTTTGGCCAAAACACTGCAGAGGCTGTCAAAGTATTGTCTCTAGGATGTGGTGACCCTCGAAACATTCTCTACTCGCTTCATTGTGAGAGAGGATTTGGTAAGAAAGCCAACAAAATAGCCAAACGATGGCTAATCGCTCTGGTTGCAACAGACATATGTAGAAAGTACGAGATCTATGCTTGTGATCATGAGCCCGCCATTTTAGGTACGATCGCATTATCTCGTGATGCGACGTGCCTGACTGATTCGTTCTCAGCACGCAACATCATGCTTTTTGCCTCCTTGATGAGCCCACCGCTCGATATGGACGGAACAGTGTCTGGAAAAGATCTTGAGTCTACATGGCGCATGTTTTACAATACCCAGATCTCTCAGGCAGATTTGAAGACAATGAAGTTACTTGCTGATATGCTTGTAAGTGCTTCATCATCAAATGCAAACTGGGCCTCATCACCTTACGGCAAATTCATCAAATTCGCAAGCCTGACAACACTTCCGACTCTCCGAGAATTCTGGCTAGATTACTCGCGCACCGCGGAGTTGACTTCTTTGGAGCAAAGCGTGTTTGATCAAGCTATCAGAGCTCAGATCAAACGACACGTCAAGGAAACCATGGGCGATGATACTTCCATGAATTCTTTCCGCTCGGCTGGACCACCGCGCATGAATACTGCTATCGTGATCAAATTAGGGCTGGATAAGTACGCAGAGACTGGAGTTGTGGGCGGGAATAAGCCAGACATGCAGCGACTAGGTGGAGCAGGCCATATCAACCCTACATTTGTTTTCTCTTCTTGGGGGAAGCGCAAATACACGGCTCATTTCGCCACTAATCCCCTGGATGGCTTTCATCTTGCGGAAGTCTTCGATAGCGCGGACTCTCCAGATAAACTACGCAAACGTGCCGTTCAGACTGCTAGGATGCAGTTCCACACTTGGTGTAAGTCATTTGCTCAGACAGCGTTGAAAGAAGCTCGGGTACAGCTCACCCTGCACTGTGGCGATGCCCTGCATTTTTGCTATCAGTATCGGTCCACTGTGTCTTCAGATGACTTATCTTTCTTGACGCGCCTCTGGAAGGTCCCTACCTTGAACCAAGATGATGCTGCAGGCCACAAAAGCCCTATGCTTTTTGATGTGATTGACACCTCGAATCTTATCGACCATCTCGGTCTTCTTAACGTCCTGCCGGCTACGGTCCCTCTGTTAAGGCGTACGCCACTATCTACACTTTACACTGAGGCTCTCACAATGGAATGTGCAAACCCTAGCGAGTTCTTGGAGTCCACCCTTTGCAGAAGCCCGGGGACAATGGCAGTTTTGCTTGGTATTGTACCTTGCGAATACTTCGTCGTTGATACATTTTGCTCGCCGAGATGCGAGCAGTTGATCGGACAACTGACAGCGCGAGGGGAGATTCATTACTATCGATTACAAACTTCGTGGAAATACCAAAGTAAAGGATGGCCTCGATACAGTTCGATTGAACCAGACAGAACAATAACGCAAAGACGACTCGTTGGCATTGATCCAAAGGAGCTTGCTGGCTTCTTAGCATTCTATTTCGAGTTATTCTTCGTGGCTCACAAAATCAATTGGACCACAAGGACGCTAGAGTGCCCGAGGTATGTCGAACGATTTAAGGACCAGTCTAAGCCGCGTTACATGCGAAACTATCGGGGGTTGTACAGCAGCTTCAGTTTCGTGTCTCTTCTAGTTATTTTCATGAACAACGTTTCGACAGACTGGAGTATGTGTATCGACCTCTTCATAAAGCGCGTGCGAACACTCGTAGACCAGTCAATACTTGTGAATGATTTCCAGGAATTCTTGCTTGTTCTTGCAGCTCATGGGATCCGATCCGCAACTATCGATTCGGAGCTCAAAGTCCATCAGAACCAAACGTTTCCGCAGATCCTACGCTCACATATACCATCAGTAGGAGATGACATTGGATCAATAGTCAATGTTGTGCATATGGTCGTTCGTATCCCACGCTCGACCTTACTACCCATTATAAGGGCGGAAGCTAAAACAATCGGAAATCCAGGGCTTCGGGCTCAGATTCACAACGCTAAAAATGGCAAGGTCCATGAATTTGCACTCCTCCGCTGGTGCTTGGGGTCTTTGAACTTCAGCTCAGACGATCAACCTTTTTGCAGTATTGAAGAAGATACAGCTGGCTGGAGTGGCGAGTCCGATCTTATTGTAACATTTCCAGCCCCAGCGTCTGCTCTCACTTCGCAGCCCGCAAACGATATCCGCATCTCCTTAAGACTCCACAACCAGACTGTCTTACCCTTTCTGAAAGACAAATTGGGTCCCGACTATTTCCTTGGCAACTACCCATTTTCTGACAGATCGCACGTCGGAGTCCTCGAGACATCTTCCACGGGGGATAATCTCACAGAAGCATACAGGATTCCTATCATAAGGTGCGGAAGACCGATCGACGCTGCTGGGCCCTCTGCCCTCATAAGCGATCGTAACAGCATTGAATTTCTAACGCTCCGCGATAACATCGTCTCCGGCTCGACTCATTCGAAAGCTTTATCCAGGGGAGCTGAGGTATCAGTATCTCAGTTGTCGCCCTTCGACATGGTCATTCGAATTGGCTCAGAAGAGCCTCGAACATTATCATATCCCTTTCCAATCAACGGTGCGAGCGTAAAGACGCGGGTCGCAAGGAAAAGCTCATGGATTGAGCTGATAGTCAAAATCGCCTCCCCAGGTACAATGTCTGGCTTCAATATCGATCCTTTTCCCACCGTCATGGTGAAGGGCCAGCCATATTGTTGGACGTCACCAAGAGTCAATATCGAGCAGCAACCGAAGATGAGTCTCAATGGGCATCTCAGTTGGACTGGACAACACATGCATCCTAGCTTCGGGCAAGCCGGCGAGGCCGCTATTCGTAATCACGGATCTCAGAGCCCCTTGCTGCCCGCTTTGCTGAGACTTAAGGCGACAATATGTCTTCTCCTAAGTCACTTCATCGGCTTTTCTCCAATGAAGACAATTCGAAAGAAGTTCCGGGGGTTTGAATTACATGTATCAAAGTCTTGCAGAGTCTGGATTTATGTCAATGCTGTACGCCATGAAGCCAGTACTGCATCGATTTTCCTTGATGCATGGGTCATCGAAGAGTCGCACCAACGACTAGACTTCCCTGCCGAGGATTTCCTTGTAGTTGAGATCAAGCAAGATGAGTTCGAGCTCTGGAGGCGACTGTTGCTTAATATTGCAGAACGATGTCGGAAAGGCTGGACTCATAAGGCGAACTGTGAATATATCACTACTGGAAGCATGCCGCTTGCCTCTCCATCAATACTATGTTCGTGCGGTCGTGGTATGGCACCAAAGGATTTCCCCAATCATCCGAGACTACGTCGGCTGAAGAAGAAAGCAACCCGTATTGCTCTCTGTCCTATTTTCACCACGTCTCATTGTTGCGATATTTCTAGCTAGGGATAAGAAAGACGGTAATGGATCATGGTAAGAAATTTGCTGAATTATCAGCTTGGACAAGGCTACCAGGTATAGTCAACATGAGCTCTGCAAGAGGAACTGAAGGCGGCTTGGGAGGCAAGCGACAGACGCGAAGGTGTGACATTCAGTGCGTTTCTAAGACTTTGGGATTTAGCTACCAGACTACTTGAAATTAAAGTATAGAGATAATAGCTATATGTAAAATATTATAAAAATACTTTTTATTACTTATAATAACTTAAATTTATAAATTATATTATTAATTATTTAAAGAATTTTTAACAACTTTATTAATTTAATATATTAAGTATTTAATATTATTTTATTATTAAATTTAAACTCTAAATATAATTAATAATAATAATACTAAGTTAATATATTTCTCTTATCCCTTTAGCTATAAAGTATCTTAAATTTAAAGTTTTAAATTAGTAAAGTAAAACCTTTATAACTTTATATTTATAAGATTATATTATATAAAATTAATATCTATTATACTTATATTAATTAAGAATATTTAAAATTATTTATTTTTTATTTTTTATAGTTTTATAAATTTAAAATTTTTAACTTAGTTTTTTAAATTATTTTTTGAATCTTTAATTCTTATATATTTATAATAAAAATATCTAAAGATTAAAATATAATATATAAATTATAAAGTATTTTCTTTTTAATATTTTTATTATATATTTATTTAAAAATTAAAGATTTTTAAAAAAATTAATATTTTATTGTTATTAATAAAGTTAATTTTTTTTAAAAGCTAATAAAAAAATATTTAATTATTAAAAGAATTTTTTAAAATTTTATTTTTCTAAAGTATATTATAAAAAAAATAGATATTAAGAGTTTTACTATAAGTGTAATAAGAATAAGCTATTTATAATAAAATTAAATAATTAATTTTTTTTAAAGAAATTTCTTAAATTATCTTATCTTTAAATTATTATAAAATTTTTATAAAATTTTAAATTTTTTTATATATTTTTTATTTAATATATAAATTATCTTAGTATTAAGTTTTATTTTAATAATACTAGTATATTTTATATAATAAAATATTTAAAATTTATTATATTATATACTTCTACTATCTTTAATATAAGATACTTTATAACTAAGAGAATATTTCTTAAGATCTTTTAATAAGATTTAAATTAAAAAGCTTAAAAATCTAATTCTTTACTTTAAGATTTAAGTAATAATAAGTTATAATATATTATCTTAAAAAATTATTTAATATAATTACTTAGATAAATATAGAAGTATTATAGTAAATAAGTTTAATAAATAAATAATATAATATATTTAAAAAGAATAATAAGAAAATATTAATTAATAATAAATATAAGCTATTTATATTTCTTTAGCTATTAAGTATCTTAAATTTAAAATTTAGATTACTAAGTTAAACCTTTATGATTTTATAACTATAAGCTTAAACTATATAAAATAAATATATTTAAAGGGTTTTTTCTTTAGTTTTTAAGTTTTAAAGCTATTAATTAAAAATAAAAAATTTAAACTATTTACTTAATTTTTAAATTTTTTTTAATCTTTAATTCTAATATACTTATAGCAAGAGTATTTAAATACTTAATTATATTAAGTAAAGTATAATATATATTAATATATATTTTTTAATTAAATATTTAATTAAATATTAAAGATTTTAAAAATAAAGAAAAAAATTAATTTTCTTCTATAAGTAAAGATATATTTAAGTTAATATATAAGAAAAAAAATAATATTTTATTATTATTAATAATACTAATTTTTTTCTTTAAAATATATTATAATTCTCTATATAAAATATTTAGTTCTAAATAAAAAATATTAAAATTTTACCTTCTTTAAGTATATTATATAAAAAATAGATATTAAAAGTTTTATTATAAATATAATAGAAATAAATAATCTATAATTAAATTAAATAATAATACTTTTTTTAAAAATTTTAATTTTCTAATTATTAAATTTTAAATTTTTTTAAAATATCTTTTATTTAATATATAAGTAATCTTAGTATTAAATTTTACTTTAATATCCTTAGTATTTCTTATATAATAAAATATAAAAAACTTATTAATTAAAATTCCTCCCCTACTTCTAAAATATAGTATTTAATAGCTAAGAGGATAAGAATTCTTACTTTACTAAGAGTAGTGTAAAAGTAATAGATAAAACAGCTAGATTACTAATTAGTCAAGCTTTTTATTAAGCTGACTTATTAGTTATTTAGGTAGATTCATTGGCCAAATCGACTGATCAATTAATTAGGTGTGACAGGCATCCGATGGAACCTTCTATGACCTGTCCGACTTGCTGAGACTCGATTTCGAATTTATGTCATCAAGTCACTGTCTAATCTTGACAAAATTGTATGGCCTGACTCAAACCTTTACCCATTTGAGACCACTCTTAGTAAGTCTTGTGACACTCATTAAGACCCCTGATGCCACAAGCATTAGGCCTGTGAAAACGAATACCCCCCAGTAGACCTCCTGACCCTGCACAAGGCCAGAATTTCGGTCCTGGATGCTTTGGCCGTCTAGTATTGCACCAGCAATGGGCGAACCGATCAGGACTCCCAAGGAACCAATACCAAATGCCATACCGATCCTGGTACCAACCTCATTCATAGCGGGCGCCAAAAACACGATTACAGCTGGAGGCAAAGCCATCAGTCCACCAGAAAAGAAGGAGTAAAGTATGGAGATAACGATCAGAGAGGCGTTTCTCTTGATGGCAATCCATGCAAAAATCGTAATGGCTGAAATGTATGCACAAGGGACGATAGTATTCAAGTTGCCAGTCCTGTCGTTCCGTCAGTGATATCTCATGATTCAGAGCATGAAATTACTTGTCCGCAAGGAAGTTTGGTACTAGTCGACCTATCATGCCACTTGCGTTCATGACGCTCAGTGTGTAAAACGCTAGGTCCTGATTCATGCCAATATTCAAAGCGTAGGTTTGTACGTAAAAGAAGGGGATGAAGAATGCAACGAATGCAAGTGCGAGCCCCAAGACAAAGGATGCATATGCCGGCTCTTTGGCAGCAGTCCATATCACCAACGGTCCAGACTTGCGTGGTGGCAGCCGTGGGCGTAGAAGTGTTATTGCAATGACAATCGTGGCAAGCATGACAAAAGCCATGACTCGCGCCGCCCATGGGAATCCGATTGTCTGGAACATCCTCCTGACAATAATTGGGTAAATCACACCACCTGTGGAGACATAAGCAAGTCAAAACTTGATATGCTGAAAGGAGCAACAGTGATGCATACCAACGCTGCTACCACTTGCCGCCAATCCTGTCGCAATACTTCGCTTTGACGTGAAATAGGTGCCAATAATGGCAATGCTGGGTGTGAAAAGGCAGCCGCATCCCAAACCCACGCAAACTCCTTGGCTAAGAAACACCTGCCAATACTTCGTCGCAATCGATGTCATCATCATTCCGAAGACTTCGAGGAAACCACCAAGCGCAGCCATGTGGTAGAAGTAGCCGGCATCAAGGGCTCGGCCGCACAGGATTCCAGCAAAGAGGAGAAGGAAGGCCTGAATCGACCCAATCCATGAGATAGCTGACGCAGTCGACGATTTGAGCAGATCTGTGGAGTAGTACGTTTGGAAGACACCATACGAATTCACGAGACCCCTATCTAGGAGTCAGAAGCCATTCAATTGACATGAAAGGGGTGGATCTTCGAGGCATACCAAGTGTTCAGTACCAGGAGAAAACCTCCAAGGACTTGAAGCCATGCTTTGGTGCCACCATCTGGAGGTGGTCCAGGCCCCGAGACTTTCTCCGCTGCAGGCTCACCACCCTGCTCGTTGGCTGGAGAGGCAACAGCAACATCCTTACCAACGTCTGAGGTGGACGATGTGTCCGGCTCTGAGACTCCTCCTTCACTTGATCGTCTATCGACTTTTTCGTCCTGGGCCATGTTCTTAGTGCTAAAAGGTTTTCGATCAACTGGCGCCAATACGTTGGACGTTACAAAATTCTCTTCCCTAGCAACTTTCAATCTTCGAGAGAACCCACAGTATTGCAAGCTCTGCTAAAAGTCATACAGATATAAAACTGCTACGAGAGAATCATCTCCTCGTGTTAGCAAGCTAAGAAGATCGAATTACCTTCTCGCGGAAATGATCTAGCCCAGCATGACAGTCCTACTCAATCGAAGTAGAGCATCATGCAAAGATCATCAGGCAGTCTCACCATATCTGCGCCAGTAAATTCTCATCTTTGGGAGTGGCTCGGCGAAGGTCTCCCTGTGCTGGGGCTAGTCTTGCATGATTGCGGCGTCCGTGTGGAAATGACATCCGACCACTCACAAATCTAAACCAGCTCCTGGATTTTTAAGATACAAGGTAGACGCAGAAGCGTACATGGCCTTGAAGGTGAAAGGATCTCAACGCCGAGACTTGCAGATCGCACCATCACCGACGTCGCCGAACTCCGAGAATACTTGCTTTCGCCGAGATACGCCAAGGAATGATGAGGATTGAATGCAGCTGCATGTCTCGCGATGGCAATATAGTCGAAATCGCAAGCTGCAGTACGCGATACATCGGCAGTAGACACGGGCTACCATGAGGGAGTCAGTCTTGCCTGTACCTGACCATCGAACTGATCCGTGCGAAAGCTGCCTCGTGTATCTCACTGATCTTTGAGCGCTCTTCTCCGTACGCTCTGGTTTCTTGCTAACTACGAAGGCAAGATCGTTCCGCCTAACTTTGTTTACTACAATGGCTCCTCACGCCCAGCCTCCGCAGTCTTTGGCTGCACCCAGTGCGACTACCTCTTTGGATAATCGCAGCAGTAGACCGCTTCGCGTCATCGTCATTGGGGCAGGTATTGCTGGTTTGTCTGCCGCCATTGGTCTGCGTCGTGGAGGACATAAAGTTGAGGTATTACACTGCTTCTCTGTGAGATAAGACGCGCCTATGTTCAGTCAATATCAGATCTTCGAACAATCTTCCTTCGCGAATGAAATAGGTGCTGCCATCCATCTGTGTCCAAATGCATCTCGAGTTCTTCTACGATGGGGCCTAGACGCGGAGAAAGCGCGCTTCGATGTTACTCAATCTGTAAGTATGATAGGCTTTTCCACGCCCTTTAAGTTGAACTTGGATCATGTACCGGCCACGTGCAGAGTACTGTTGCTATAGATCATCTCAGGGCTCAGTCACTCATTATGTATACAGGGACTGACGGCTCGGGCCAATAGCCTGGATCCAATATACGAAGCAGATTATCACAAGATCAAGACGAAATACTCCGCGCCATGGTACTTATCTCATCGTGTTGATCTTCACAACACTCTGAAGGATCTAGCCACGAAAGACCTCGGTAAGGGGCCTGCAGGCACAATCAGACTGCGTTCAAAGGTCGTCGAAATCGTAAGCAAGCGTTATCACCTTGCAAAAATGGACTTAGCTCAATAGGATACAGGACCCAGACTCCGCTACTGTCACCCTCGCAGACGGCACATCACACAACGCTGATATCATAATTGCCGCGGACGGAGTCCACAGCAGAGCCGTCAGTAAAGTGATTGGGCATGAGAATCCCGCCGCCCCAACAGGTTTCTCTGCATTTCGGTTCCTGATACCCACGGAAGAACTTCTCGCAAATGAGAAGACCAAACACTTCCTTGATGGCAAGGAAGGCCAGTTTAAGATATTTGTTGGAGAGGGGGGAGACGATTGGTGTACTACCCTTGTCGAGCGTGAGTAGCCGATGAACATCGCATGACCGAGCGATGGCAATAGACTAAATCATCGCCAAGTGGCACATTGCAGAACTTCGTCGCGATTCATCCTGATAACGAGCGCTTCAACTCGAGAGAAGGTCGGCTCTCTCTCTCTCTCTCAACTTTACTTGTTTAGGGGCCGCTTCACTAACACTGAGACTTGACAGAATGGAACATCAGCGCCAAAACCTCCGATGTGCTTGAGGAGTTCCGATCATTCCACTCGGATCTCGTGGCCACCATGAGGTGTGTGTGATTGCTGCAGATAGTAGCAACCCGCTCATCTGCCCTCTTCTAACGACCCATCAGCAAAGCAACAGACGTCAAGCTCTGGAAGCTCCTCTACCGCGAGCCAATCCCCACATGGCATCGGAAACGGCTGCTGCTTATTGGGGACGCAGCGCATCCGATGCTACCTCGTAAGTCAACACATATCACATTTTAAATACCCCCCGCCCCATCTCCAACCCCTGCATATCCGCACCCCCTCACCCCCCTCTAACAAACCTCTAGATCAGGGCCAAGCAGGTGCCCAAGCCATCGAAGACGGCGCCGCGATTGGCGTTCTTCTCAGCGGCCTCCAAGTCCCCCCCTCCCCTCCCCCCTCGGCCGATTTACTACGTTTCGATCTGAATACCGAGATCGAGAGAAAACTTGAAGCCTTTGAGACGGTGAGGAGGAAGAGGGCGAGTTTGATGCAGATTTTTAGCAATGCGGGGCAGGATGAGGCGGAGAAGGTTAGAGAGGAGGCGGGTAGGTTGTTGGGGGAGGGAGTGAACGTGCCTGGTGAGTTTTCCTTTTCTCTCACCTCTGCAGCGTGGTGTGGGGGTTTTTAAATGGGGGAAAGGGAGGGAAAGGGGACAGTGACTGACAAGTATGTTGTAGGTAATCAGGCGGAGTTCCATGAGTTCAATTTTGGGCATGATGTTCTGGGGGAGAGCGAGAGGGTGTTGGGGGCTTTGTGAAATTTTAGAGGGTGGGTTGGTGTGTAGGATAGCTTTAGACATTTGTGAAATGCTCGCCTCGTGAATATGATTGCACACGACGAGGTTTGAAAGCATGCCAGAGCATCACTTGCTGCTTTCAAGTTTTCCTGCAGCGCCTTAGCCATTGTTCAGCCTTTCAACGCTATTCCGGCTAAACCTGGAATAGCAATTCAGCACGTGAGTGGACGACTGATCGAAGAGGCGTGGAGGGATAAGTACTGCTGGTGCTTCTATAAATGTCACAACTAAGGATCAGCTTCCTTCCAACCGTCAAGGGTGAAATTCAGGATGCTGACGTACAAAACAGGCGGCCTGGAGCTAATGCATGTTTATCTCCTTACTCATACGATCAGACGCCGTTTTCGACACTATCATCAATGAATTTCGCCTCCAAGATATTGCTTGCAGCCACACTCTCCCCCTTCCTCCAAACCCGCTGAAATCTCAACCTCGCATCCGCCTGCTCGAACAACCTTCTAAAGTCCTCCTCCGTCCTCTCCCGCGCATTGTGCAGCACCATCATCTGCATGTCCAAATACCGCACAAACTTCTCGTCCTGACCATGCAACACCCCTGGTGGTGGTATCACCGAGTCCGAAACCAACACTCTCGCACCATTCTTGAGAACCGGCACGAGCGCTTTGAGGATCAGCAATGCGTGCGAATCCGGCCAGTCGTGCAGGATGTGGCGCAGATAGTAGACCGCTGCCCCATCGACAGGGTTGACGGTGAACATGTCGTGGGCTTGAAAGCTGACACGGTCGGAGAGCGAGGAAGGCAGTGTATCTGCGCCGCTTTGGACTGCGTCGGCGAGGTCCTGCACAACGAGCTTCAAGTCTGGGTAAGCTTGGGCGAGGGCGACGCTGATGTGGCCGTTGCCACCGCCGACCTGAAGATTGCTGTTAGAGCGTGAAGACGAGGCAGAAGGTGGGATTGCGAACATCAACGACCGTTGCCTTGCCCAACGAGGCCCAATCCCATCCTTCAACAACCTGCTTTGGAGAACGGCCAATGGTTTGGCTGATTCCTGCCATACCGAGGTTGAATCTGTGAAAACGCTCCGGATGCTTCGACAGGAAGGTGAACACCGGATCAGGCGTATCAAGGGCAAGATTGAACCCTGCCTGATCCGGTCCTTCGCTGTATGGATATCGCCGAATTGAATCTGTGAGTCTTGATGCAGCTGGGAATGCTTCGCCTGTGCAGTGGCCAAGGAATGCAGCAAGTTCCTTGTTCTCTGCCAAATATGCGGAGACGGTAGAGTGCGCTACATATCCCGGGCGTGATTCGGTGAAGATCTTGCGGACGAAGAGCAAGCGCAAAATGCGTTCCAGTCGTCCAACATCGAAGCCTACGATTTGGGAGAGTTCCTGAAATGAGATGTCGCCGTGAAGTGGGACGGCGGTGGCGATACCAAATTCGAGGACGACAGACAGTGCGGTGATGTCGTGATACTTTCGACATAAGTCAGAGTGTATCAAATAGTTCGAATGTTATGTGATCGTCAAAGACTTACGCCATAGGATAGACTCTTGAGGTACATAGCCGGTCCTAGAGTCAGCGTCGAGAGGTCAGAAGCAGCCTGTATAAGTTCTGCTTTTGCGTCCAACAGCTCCTTGGTCGGCGGGGCTGCCGGAAGACGTGGTTTCTTCACAGTCCCGTTGATACCGTTTGTGGCGGCATGAAGGTTGGACGACGGTTGCTCCATTTGATCCTGTAATTGCGACTTGGTGATGACTAGAGCAGCGTTGGAGATAATTTGCGCGAGATCAAGCACTGGTGTAGAGGACAAGGACGCCATGTCTGAAAGGGAATTAGGTCTTTGGATTGTTGTAGATGATGCACAGAATCATAAGTCAAATTTCGACCTGGTTATGTGGCGTATTTGCTATCACTTCCTGTCACCTTCCCATGTATAAAGCTTCCTGCACAAATGCAAGGACGCAGTAACTACCAGGTGGCGTGGTGATTCCGATGATATTAGGAACAAGTTCGTCACGATTCAGCGACGAGCTCCGGTGCGTGCAGCATCCAACGGTATGCCGGCGAGTGACGAATGATCAGCGTGCCACATGGTACGCTATTCCGTGATCCCGTACGCAGATATTTTTTTTTTGACTAAACTGCCAAGAGCCCTGAGCTATTCATACTAGTTCCGAACGCCGATCGAGCTGCTTTTCGGCGATTCCGCGTCAATGCAAAACCCCTTCTCAAGGTAGATGGTGCTATACTGCCTCGTGAACATTACCAATAGACCATAGCGGAGGATGACAAACATTGGAAGGCTCCGAGACCTGTTACCGCCGATGTGTTCACCATTGTAGGCGGATTTCCGTGATGTGATGGCCACATTGCTCTCTACTGCGACGCCAGCTAGTGCTTGTCACGTACAGTACCGGTATCAATGGTATTCCTAGTGACAGTGGTCTTGTGCCTTTCCAAATGTCAGGCCACCTTTGCTGCAATCAATCAAATGTTCGCAGCCTTTATTCCTTCATAAATCCATAGGCCACATTGCGAACGTTGAAGTCTGTAGCATCACCACTGATCCATTTCAAGCAGGTATCCGCGACCATGGGATTCTCTAGCTTTGAGCCGCAGCTCTTCGGAGCATCTCGCGAGAACTCGTTTGTCAAAGCGAACTACATCGTTCTACTTTCGTTGATTGCTGTTATCCTTCGCCTTTGGCAAGCTTGGCCCAGAAGAGCCGACACACCAGTATTGTCCCATCACAAAGGTTGGAGTGCGCCGTGGAAGGATGCTGCACGCTACTTGAAGGACAGTCCAGGCGTGTTGAAGGAGGGGTATGAAAGGGTACGTAATTCTTGACACCGAGAAGAACGCAAAAGACACTGTCTTGCTCAGCATTCCTTGTAAACAGTACTCAAAACACGGTCAATTCTTCCAAGTGTCCACACCAACGCGCTGGTTCATTGTTGCACCACCAAAATATATCGACGAGATTAGGGAGGCACCAGAGGAATACCTAAGTCCGCGAGTGTCAGCTAACGATGTACGTATCACTGCAAGCACTTCTTTTACACGAGACTAAAGGAGCCACGGACAGGTTGTGCAGACAAAGTACACAGTCTCACCGATTGTTGAGGCAAACAAGTTCCATCTTGCCACCATCAAAACTGCTCTCACGCCAAGTCTGGGATCTAAAAACGACGATATCTTGGACGAGATCGAGCTGAGCTTTGCAAATGAGATCGGTGCCTGCGATGGTGATCCATCTCCTCAAATTGGCAATTGCGCTTCACTAACATACCTAGACTGGAAGCCCATTCCCATGTCTCAGAAAGCGCACCGTATCGTGACAAGGACGGCGAACCGTGTTTTGGTCGGCGCACCGCTCTGTCGGAATGAGGAGTACCTCCAGATGTCAATCAAATACACCATTGACGTCTTTGGTGGGGCTGATAAGCTCCGTGGCTACCCTGACTTTCTCAAGCTGCCGGCAACTTACTTCGTTACCAACGTGAACCAACAGCAGGCTATAGCCCGAAAACATCTGCTGCCTTACATCCAAGCTCGCTTGGCAGCGGAGCGGAAGTATCTCGACGCTGGAAAGTCCAAAGAATGGCAGCGCGAAAAGCCTCAGGATTCGTTGCAATGGGTGATCGACGCGGCGCCGAATGCAAAGGAGCGCCAACCCAACCGGCTTGTATATCGGATTCTGCACATCAATGTTGCTGCCGTACATACAACGAGTGTCACCTTTCTCAACTGTGTCTTCGACCTGGCCACTCATCCGGAGATCCATGACGAATTGCGCCACGAAGTCGAAAGCGTCATTCAGCAAAAGGGATGGACGAAGCAGGGGCTGAACGACCTGAAGAAGATTGACAGTCTGATGACTGAGAGTCAACGCCTCTCGCCCATTGCAAGTTGTAAGTCTGGCTGCCTGCCTGCCCACTCTCTTGACCCAATGGCCTCCAGTGCCGATAATGACTGTAGCTCAAATGACTCGAGGCGTCACGCGTGACTTCACCTTCTCGGACGGAACGACAGTGCCCAAAGGTGCCTTTGTCCTCGTGCCTCTCTTGGCACTCTACACGGACAACGACGTCTTCCCTGACGCGGAGAAGTTTGATGCCTTTCGATTTTCGAGACTGCGCGAACGACCGGGTGAGGAGAGCCGACACCAATTTGTGACGACCTCGACTACTCACATCAATTTCGGTCATGGGAAACACGCCTGTCCAGGGAGATTCTTTGCCAGCAACGAGATCAAATTGCTCCTGGCCTACACGTTGCTGAACTATGATCTGAAGCTCGCAGGGCCGGCACCGCAAGCGACTTGGTTCGATCGGTCACGGAGGCCTGATCTTAAAGCGCAAGTACTGTTTCGCAAGAGATAGGCCATGTCTCAATTGAGACCTTGGTTGTCGTAGAGGTGTGACATACGTGGCTGTCGAGGTGTGGGTTTTTCACAATTCGAGGGTTTGATTGCAATGACGTCAATGTGCTTAGTAAGCGACATAATGAAGTGGGGGCAATGGAATCTGGCAATCACCAAGCACTTACTCTTGTATCTATCATCTATCGCTGGACTTTGTCAGGCACGAGTCCAGAACACACATGGCTCTACAGTACTACTGCGCTGGGACGCATTTCCGTGTTATCGTCGCCCGCACAGACTGTAGAGGCTCCAACAGGAAACCTCCTGAATCCAGTCTCATGATACTCCAATCATTTCCATCGAATGTGCTCTCTCTTTGCTTTCCTCAGGCTATCATTACAAGTACGCTCAGAGCAAGCACTAAAATCATGTTCGTAAACTAACGCCATCGCCCGGTGCTGTCAATATGACGACAGCATTGCTGGACTCGGAAATGCTTCTTGGCGGTAAGTAAGCTAGTACGGAGAACCGTCTAACAATAGTCTAAGGTGAAGCGAATATCGAAGTGTCCAGACGCCATCTCATGACCGTTTGAAGATCAACGCCGAAATCCCTGTCGCCGAGCCGGGTCATGGCAATCAAGGCAGAATTTGGGATTTCGGGCTATCTATTTCGGTCCGAGAGCTTCTCCCCTTTATACTTCCATGATTCTGAGCTTCAGCTCATCGCACGCCATGATGACGATCGCCAGGGTCGCCCTTGGACATGAGGTTGAGACTATCACAGCGGCACGGTAGTCGTAAGCCTCGCGGATGTTACATGCTAAGATGGGAGCAAACTCAGGCCATGGTCTTTTGCAGCAAAGCTTTATATCGGAAAGGGGGCAGGGAATTGCTCCCCAAGAAGACAGCCTTTGTGGTGATCCGTCTTCAACAAAGTTGATCACCGTCGCGAGCCATTGGCTGAACATTCAACACTATGGGCGTGCTTCTCTTTGGGGACCAGACAGGCCTCAGCTTTGATTTTCTCAACAAGTCACTACATCGCACAAGGAAATATCACATAGTGAAGGCCTTTCTCAATGGCGCCGCTACGGTCCTTCGGAAGGAGATATCACAACTTTCGCAGGCCGATCGAAATCAGATACCTAACTTCACCACCATTCAGGAGCTAATAGAACGATATTCTGCAACTTCGTCTCGACATCCAGCCATCGAAGGCTCATTGCTTTGCTTATCGCAATTCATTCATTTCATGGGGTTGGTTTTCTCCCAGCCTCGATCTTTCCTGGATTAAGACACTCATACCTAAGTAGATACTACGAAGATCCTCACGAAAGACCTTACCCACCCGCTGAAACATGCGTTGTTGGTCTTTGCCTGGGCTCTCTAGCCGCTGCAGCGGTTGCCTCCTCACATTCGCTGGCCCATCTTCTTCCACTCGCTGTGGAAACGGTCGGCGTCGCCTTTCGGGTTGGCCTGGAGACCCTGGAAACAAGCCGACTTCTGCATACAACCCATACTACTGTGAAGCCTTGGTCGATTGTTTTTCGTGGTATGGATGATCTAGTCGCTAATACTGCCTTGGATGCGTTCAATCAGGAGTTGGTATGCAGACTCCTTGTGACTTGGCACAGCCAACAGTGCGCTAAATGAAGTCCCCCAGGACGTCTCTCAGCCCAGCCAACCTTACATTAGTGCAGTCGGTCCTAACACTGTGACAGTCAGTGGTCCACCACAGGTGTTGGATGAACTGCTAGAAAACTCAGCCACTTTCAAAGGAGCAGGACTGGCCATCCCAATATTTGCGCCATATCACGCACCACAGCTTTTTAGGCACGTCGATATACGTAAACTGGTGCTTAGCCATCGCTCTCAATACTTCGATACTGCGAATCACTACCAACCATACCTGCCGCTGCTGTCGACCTCGACTGGCACGCGCTACACCGCTGACACAACTTTAGCGCTATTCGAAGAAGTTATTCACGATACTCTGACACAAACACTGCGTTGGGACCGCGCAATAGAGGGTTGTGTCTCAGATGTCGTGGTCGCAGAAAGTTCTCTTACAGAAGTGTTGGCATTTGGGCAGACAAAGGCTGCCAGCAGCTTAGTGTCTGCTTTACAAGCGCAAAGCAATAATCAAGTCTCCCTGCAAGACTCCTCCTCTTGGACATCCCGCTCTCAGTCCAAAGACAACGGACCACGTGGAAGCTTCAATGACTCCAAATTGGCTGTCGTAGGTCTTGCAGGTCGATTCCCTAACGGCGCAAACATCGAGGGTTTCTGGGAGACACTGGAGAAGGGATTAGACGTTCACAAAGAGGTAAGTCTTTTCCAGGCCCCTTCTCAGCTGATATGTCGGGCTTACTGACCACTTCGAAGATACCAAAGGATCGCTTCGACGTGAAAACGCACGTCGATCCGGACGGTAAGGGACGTAATACTACTTATACGCCATATGGCTGTTTCATTGATAATCCCGGTCACTTTGACCCAAGATTCTTTAATATGTCTCCTCGAGAGGCTGCACAAACAGATCCTATGCAACGATTGGCGCTAGTCACCGCTTATGAAGCTCTCGAGATGGCTGGCTATGTACCAAACAGGACCGCATCGACGACTTTAGATCGCGTCGGGACGTTCTACGGTCAGACAAGCGACGATTATAGAGAGTGCAACTCTTCCCAAAATGTCGATACATACTTCATTACTGGGGGAATCCGCGCTTTTGGGCCGGTAAGCATTCACCACGACCTCACCAGCCCCCACCAAAACCTTACGGATATCTTGATCTAACGAACATGTTGTCAAGGGCCGTATAAATTACCATTTCAAATTCAGTGGTCCTAGTTTCAATGTCGATACAGCCTGTTCATCGAGCTTAGCTGCCATTCAAATTGCCTGTACCTCGCTTTGGAACGGAGAATGTGATACTGCGGTGGCTGGGGGATTGAGCATTCTCACTTCTCCAGATCTATACGCAGGCCTCAGTCGGGGCCAATTTTTGTCCAAGACGGGTTCTTGCAAGACATTTGATGACGCTGCTGATGGCTACTGTCGCGGTGACAGTATTGGGACAGTGATTCTAAAGAGATTGGATGATGCTGTTGCTGATAAAGATAATATACTTGGTGTCATTCTTGGAGCGGCAACCAACCATTCAGCGGACGCCATTAGTATAACTCATCCTCATGCACAGACGCAAGAAGCCCTGTACCGCAAGGTACTCGCACAAGGCGCAATAAGTGCCTTCGACGTGGATTATGTTGAGATGCACGGGACAGGTACGCAAGCAGGAGATGGCGCTGAAATGGAGTCAATCAGCAATGTTTTCGCACCAGCAGTGGCGGGGAGAAAGGCTGACAAGCCTTTATATGTTGGTTCCGTAAAGGTATTTCAATTCATCTGTTCAATCTGTGTCTCAATGCATCTAGATATTGACTTCGACTTAGGCAAACGTTGGACATGGAGAAGCGGTATGTGCGAAATGGTAGATTTGAAGCAAGAGGAGTGAACTGATCTGATCCAGGCTTCCGGAGTCACGGCATTGATCAAGTCCCTTCTCATGCTCAAAAAGGACATGATACCGCCTCATACTGGTATCAAAGGTTCGATTAACCAGAAATTTCCGGACCTGGACCAGAGAAAGTACTCCTCCCTGTTTACATTTGACTTTCGATGAAGTGCGGTGGCTGACAAAAGGTTAAAGGATTCGTATCGCATTATCTAAAACACCTTTTCGAGCCCACACCAATAACAAGCGGCGGCTGCTTGTCAACAACTTCAGTGCGGCTGTCTGTGTTTGCGCTCCATCCCTGATTACATGGGCTAACCTGTTTTGCAGGGAGGGAATACAGCCTTGCTGCTAGAAGATTTTGTCAAGTCAGATCGTGATGTTCATGATCCTCGGCCCTCGCATGTCGTCGTTGCTTCGGCGAAGTCGTCTCTCTCTCTAGAAAGAAATGTCGAGCAGTTGGTGACACATCTTGACAGAAATCCACAGATTTCCTTGCCAAGCCTCTCATACACAACAACAGCCCGCCGAATCCAGCACCCCTACCGAATTGCAGCGGTAGGAAAGAGCCTGGATCAGATCAGAGATAGACTCCAGTCATCCTTGCGCGAACTAAGCGCCACTGTATCAAGTAATCCATCCAAGCTGGGCTTCGCCTTTACTGGCCAAGGCTCTTATTACGCGACTTTAGGACGAGACTTGTTCGAGACGTCAGCTTATTTCAGATCGACTATAAAACACTTGGATAGTCTTTCGCAGAGTCATGGCTTCCCTTCAATCTTACCGCTCCTTGATGGAACATTCGATCATGCTCTGACAAGCCCTCCAATACAAGGACAGTTACACCACATTTGTGTCCAGATGGCACTCTGCAGCCTATGGTCTTCTTTGGGGAATCAAGCCCGAGATTGTCATCGGACACAGTCTCGGTGAGTATGCTGCACTCAACGCAGCGGGCGTGTTGTCTGCGAACGATGTCATCTTCTTGATCGGTCGTCGAGCCCAGCTTTTAGAAGAGAAATGCCTACCGGGAACCCACAGCATGCTTGCAGTAAAAGGGGAAGTATCTCTGATCAAGCAACGGCTTTTTCAAAATGGCTGGAACCTTGAGATTGCTTGTGTCAACAAATCAGACGAAGTAGTACTGAGCGGGGAATTCTCCGAAATCGAGGTGGCTTCGAAAGAGCTTACTGGATTAGGTATCAAGTCAACGAGGCTTGATGTTCCTTTCGCATTTCATTCCTCCCAAGTGGAGCCCATCTTGGCATCCTTCGAGGAGCAAAGTCGTTTCGTTCACTTTAATGAGCCCAACATACCTATCATTTCTCCCTTACTCGGAAATGTTATTGAAGAGGCCGACACAGTCAACGCGGCGTATTTGAGTAAGCATACCCGGGAGACTGTAGAATTTGACGCAGCCCTTCGGAACGCGCAGCAACGAGGAATGATTGGTGACCACACGGCTTGGGTAGAAATTGGGCCACACCCAATCTGTCTTGGGATGATCAAAGCTGCGACAAAGCCTGGTGTCTCGGTGGCAAGCCTTAGACGGAAAGAGAATGCATGGGAGACTCTCGCAAACAGTGTCAAAGAATTGCATTCATACGGCTTGAACTTAGATTGGGCAGAGTACCATCGAGACTTCCTTGATAACTTGGAGCTGTTAGATCTCCCCACCTATGCTTTCGAAGACAAAAATTATTGGCTAGACTACAAGAACGATTGGAGCTTGACTAAAGGTATAGCTGATGAAGAAGGCAACCAAGAATCTCTAACTCCCAGATTCTCAACAACAACACTGCAAAGAATCGTGACAGAAGATTTCGATGGCGATAAAGCATCAGTGGTCTTTGAATCGGATTTCTCGGAGCCATCACTCCATGCAGCCGTCGTTGGTCACCTCGTGAATGAATCTGGGCTTTGCCCTTCGGTAAGTACCCTCCCTAGCACGACGGTATCTCATACTAATTGAATGTCACAGTCGATCTATGCAGACATGGCCTTATCTGCAGCGCATTATATACACCAGCAATTACTTCCTACATCACCAGAGCCTGGGATGAACGTCAAAGCGATGGAAGTCTCGAAGCCTGTGATTGTTTCGACGTCCAACACGAACGAGCCCCATTTACTCCAGATTTCAGCGACTGCCGATCTATCTACAGGGAAAGTAGATCTGGACTACAGCAGTGTTGATATACGTAATAGGTCCAGAATAAGAAATGCTCACTGCTTCGTGGAGTATGGAAACACTGAAGATTGGTCATCGGACTGGGCGCGCAGTGCGTTCCTCATCGAGTCTCGAATTCAAGTGCTGGAAAGTGAGATGGCAGGGGGGAGCGTGCAGAGGATCTTAAAAGGCATGGCATACAAGCTTTTTGGGGCGCTCGTTCAGTACGCAGAAAGTTACAGGGGTATGGAGGAAATCTTGTTGCTCAGCAATCAACGCGAGGCTGCCGCAAAGGTGAAATTCCAAGCAGATGGCAAAGATGGAAACTTCTTTTTCAGCCCTTACTGGATCGACAGTCTTGCGCATCTTTCAGGCTTTGTGCTCAACGCCAATGATGCATTGGACTCGAAGACCCAGGTGTTCATCTCTCACGGCTGGGAGTCCATGAGGTTCGCAGTTCCTTTCTCGGCAGAAAACGCCTACCGCACCTACGTCAAAATGCAGCCCGAAGCGAAGTCGACAGTCATGGCTGGGAACGTCTACATTCTTGAAGGCAATGTTGTGGTAGGGCTGATAGAAGGTCTCAAGTTCCAGCAGGTCCCTCGAACTCTCCTCGATCACCTACTACCACCGGCAAGCAGAGCAAAAGCAGCGAAGACATCCGCGTTACCAGCCACACCTAGCCAACCCATTGAAAATGGCAGGCTCGCAAAGATTGCGCGCTCAAATCCTACAGCAGCCGATGCAGTGCAGATGTTGCCACTTCCTCCAGGGCCGTCAATATCAGATCGTGTTGGGCAGATAATTACTGCAGAAGTCGGCATACCTGAGAATGAACTGTTAGAACGTTCTTCTTTCAGCGAGCTAGGCATTGATTCTCTACTGTCCTTGACAATCATTGGAAAGCTCCGAGAAGAACTAGAAATACCGATTTCTTCGTCGATATTCTTGGATTATGATACCTTTGGAGAACTTCGGAAGCATCTCCTACAGTATGATACGGTCAATGGTAGCACACTTACCTCTGCGAGAGTAAACTTAACACAAGCTGCACTGGTGGAGAAAGCGTCAAGTACTCCGCCCGAGATGACACCTTCAAACAACTCTCAGACCTCATCATTAGAGTCCATCCATGATGCAGAAGCTACGAACGCTGTGAAGACCATCATAGCTGAAGAGATGGGCCTTGATTTGGTCGATGTCCCCGCAACAACCCCTCTTGGCTCCCTGGGCATGGATTCTCTCATGAGCCTGACGATCCTCGGATCCTTACGGGAGAAGACTGGCCTTGAGATTTCACCAGACCTCCTAGCTGACGATCCAACAATTCAAGACCTCGACAAACGCTTGACTCCGCCCGTCTCCACCCTCGCCAGCTTCCCACCTGACGATAACACTCCAACAAACGTAGCGCGGGACTACCCCGCAGCCTCCTCCATTCTTCTGCAAGGCAGCGCCATCACTTCCTCGCGCAAACTATTCCTCTTCCCCGACGGCTCTGGCTCAGCCTCAAACTACACCAGCCTCCCCACCCTGGCGCCCTCCCTCGCTGTATTCGGGCTGAACTGCCCCTTCCTCAAATCTCCCCGCGACTACACGTGCGGCATTAATGGAGTCGCGCAAATCTACATCGCAGAGATCCAGCGCCGGCAGCCCCGCGGGCCGTACACGCTTGGCGGGTGGTCTGTCGGCGGCATCATCGCGTACGAAGCGGTGTACCAATTAATTCAGGCCGGCGAAGTCGTCGACCAGCTGATCCTCATCGACTCGCCGTGCCCGCTGCTCCTGCCGCCCCTTCCCATCTCCCTCGTCAGGTTCTTCGATAGTCTAGGCCTCTTCGGCCCCCCCGGTCAGACCCCGCCGTGGCTGATGGAGCATTTCGAAGCATCGGTCGCCAATTTGCATCGGTATAAACCCACCGCTATCGAACCCATAGCCAAGGCACCGAAGACGTTTGCGCTCTGGGCGCAGGATGGGGTTTGTAAGGACCCTTTGACGCCGAGACCAGGGTTGGATGGGGAGGAGAGTAGGAGTAAGGCTTGGATTCTGGATAATAGGGGGGATTTTGGGGCGAATCAGTGGGATGAACTGGTTGGTGGACGGGAGAACGTGGAAGGGCGCGGGGTGCCGGGGAATCATTTCACGATGATGCGCGAGCCGAATGTAAGTCTCCGGCGACTTTCTTTCTTTTTTGGATTGAATGGGGAATGCTGACGGTGGATTCAGGTTACGAGTTTGGGCCAGCAGATTGCTTATGCGTTGAACACACTCTGAGGCCTGCGGATTTGTAAAGCAGAGATGAATTGACTTGTTATCTAGCATTTGAATTTGTAGACTGCATACCTTCGAACTTTATGGCCGTGAAATAAGCAGGGAGCTTGAGTGCAGCCTTGGGCTTCCAACCTCCAGTCAAGATTCGGTGTCTTCCTTCGTCGGTTTTCATATTGACATGTCTAGCCGTCCAGTGACCAAGCTTTGGGATGACCGGGCTTACGACAACGGAATGTGCAACAATCAGCGCTGCATGTTTAGGGACTTGCAAAGAATCCTTCTGCGATGACCAAATTTGCACTAAGAGGGTGCTGCAATATCTAGGGAATTTGAGACGAGTCCATCCCCAACGACTAGCGTTGCATTATCAAGCCTCTACAGTCGCTAAATTTGCAACAGTCGAGCTCCAAATGCCACAGGCAAATACTTCTGCAGTATAAAGCCCCAACACCCTTTCTCTTCATACCACCACCCAGCAACACCGCTCCTCCCCTAACGCCTCGGTTGCAGCACCCTAACCGTCTGCTGCAAATGCCTCGTCAACTGCCCCAATATCGTCTCATAAGTATTTCCCTCCGCCTGATCCTCCACCTGCGCAATCAAATCTCTAAATCTGCCCAACAACCCCTCCACCTTCCTCAATTCAATCAACATAAGTTCCTGCTTCAACAGGATCTCATCCTCCTCCTCGATCCGATAGGCGCCGAAATTCAACCGCAGCGGGCCCGGCACGATGGGCGGGGACGCCGCCGCGGCGCTTCCCCCACTGTTGTTGCTGCTGCTGCTACCGGAGGAAGTCGGAGGGCGGGAGAGGTAGACTTCGCACGCGGAGTGATAGAGCGTGAGGGTCTGGTTGAGGAGGGCGGAAATGAGCAGGAACGAGGTGCTGCTTGCGGAACAGGAGGCGCAGTCGAGCATTTTTGTGGAGCGCGAGACCGCTTGCTTGTTTGTTGCCAGGAGGACGTCGAGGCTGAAGCAGGAGGCGTTCTTGCGCGGGCAGTTGTTCGCGCGGAAGACCTGTTGCGGCATTTGGAGGACTTGGAGCAGAGTTATCAGGCAGTCGCAGGTGTCCTGCTGCGCTTGGTGGAAATTCGGCCGAGGAGAGCGTGTGGGGTCTGGGGCGCGAGGGACGCCGACGATGTTGGAGAATAGGGAGATATTCCCATCGAATATTGGGGTTTGATCGGGGGGTCGCCGCAGCACGCGGTTCCTTGGTCTTGTAAGGGTGGGGCGGGGAAGCCTTGCTTCATGCTGCTGAAGAGATCCATGGGCCCTCCTCCATCATTCCAGAAGTTCAGGGTGTCGAGGCTCGAAGTTTTGCTGTTTGAGATATTTGATTGGAGATTGTCATGATCGGTCCACAAAGCTTGCGTGTAGTCATCGGGTGCATTAGTGACGGTCAGTGGAGTCGGCATAAATCCTGCAATTTGCCGAGGGTCGTATGCAGCAGCGTCGTCACTGTTGGTAGGTGCTTGGCCCTTCAATCCCAGACCGTCCATTGGTGTCGGAGCTTCCTCCCATCCATTGCCAAAGTCGTCCTGAGAGGTCTCGCCTGCTGCGGCTGCGGCTGCGGCTCGTCCAACGCGCCGTATCCCTCCAGACATAGACCGATTTGACTCCGCATCGGCACTCTCGGACGCGGACGAACGCCTGGACGGTCCATGTGTGGGCGAGTGCCGCGGCTTCCCGTTTCTGAGAGAGGGGCTATATGTGCATGTAACGCCGTGGGTGATGCAACGAGCACAATCTTGCTGAGGTCCAGAGTTCGACGAGGTACACTTCACTTTGGCGACATGGCAGCTGTCACATGATGCGCGAAGCTTCTGACCCGGCTGAGCGGTCTGGGAATTTCTGTGTGGACTCGCTTGCGGTGGGTTTCTCGCTGAGTTCAACATTGGCTGCAGCGGTCTAATTCGGATAGAGGATTTTCGATCGACCACGCCGAGGCTGTTAAATTTTCCGAGACGGAAGAACAAAGAGCAGTCTCAGCGTCGAGCGCCTTGACTTATGAGCTTTCCCTGGGAACAACTACCGTCTGACGACTCTTTCTGACTTCCTTGTCAGACTGTAAAAGCTGGCAAAAGTATACATAGATCCCAAGGAGGAATCCGCACGACTCTCGCATAGCTATGATCCTGGCTTTGGTCGCGGCAAGGTATCAGCGCATGCCTAACATGGCCTAAAACCACCATCTTACCCCAAAGGCTGGGCGTCCGTCGATGGCACCATCGATCACTCCCATGGTGTGCCTTCTAGCCTTATGTCAGTCGGGAAGACCCTCGTGCATGTCTAGCGCACATGAAGACGACTTATCTCCAGGGCAAAGTCCTGGGGGTAGGTGGCGAGAAATGTCACCTCCAAGCCCAGCCCGTATCTTACTCCAGCACCTGAAGACTGTTGACATGATCCTGCTGTATCTAAGGCTGCACATGCGCCAGGGTCAGCTCCGCCGCTGTGGGGATTGTCGCTGTGGGGGTTGTCTTGTGGCGTGCAGTAACGCACTTCAAGACAATCCTAATGGCCTTGCCGTATTCCACTTATCACAATCTAGCCCGACTAGAACACCATTATAGTCGTAGTCGAATTGATGAAAGGCGGAGAATTCGCATGGTGGTGTGATGGATGATCATTGATCTCCCTTCAGCTCTGGCGTGCTCTGGGCCCCAATTGACGCAAGGCCCGCTTATTAATCAAGCCGCGCTTTATCTTTAGCGCGGGCCAGTTTAATGACGCCTCTACCTCTACCTCACGCCCACATTGATGACAAAGCCAAGAAAGGAGTCTCAATGGCCCTGAAAATCAATCAGGTCGTATATGACTAGCCCCCGATCTCTGCATCTTCAACCATCTTGAGTGCTCAGTTCCGCCCCGTCAATCCTCCACCCACCGCCGAACGCCGAGCGCCGTCGGCGTTCGCTTCCCAGTGCCTGCTCCGGTCTTGCCTGTCGATCTACCAGACACAGCTCCGGCGACGCTCCGCTGATAAGTCTCTGTATTCCGCCGACGTTGTACGCTCGGAAAGTGTGTATGGGGGAACGATAGAGGTCACCGCTAGTCAATGCCGCTTGATATGGTGCCATCAATGGACTCAAGTGGGAAGAGCATGGCCGGACTCAGGCTGCAAATACGCTTATATTGCCATGCGTGGAGGCTGATCCAGCAATGTGTCTTTCTGTCTGTCTTGTGCTGACGCTCCGTTGAACGAGAGTGGCTGTTTGTTCACCAACCAAAGAAATCGCTCTCTTGAACCGTGCTTGATATTATCTGAAAGGATTCTTTGCTCCTCAAAGACGCCTTCGATCAGCCGCAGAGTTCAGGCATCCGGACCGTGCTGCTTATCCCCCCCCTTCAACATGTCTGATCCGTCGACTCCATCAGCTGATGAGAAAGGCTTCGTGGCGTCGGAGCAGAGTCTCGGCCATGGACAATCATATTCCAGGCCTAGAGGCGAAGTCTATGATATCGCAGGTACTGATCCTGTCCTGTCGAGGAAGATGGCTGCTGTCAACGACGCTATTGATGAGATTGGCCTCACACCCTACCACTGGAAGCTGTTTTGTCTGAACGGCTTCGGATATGCAGTGGATTCGGTGAGTGGTGGCTGTTCCATCGCTTGATCGCAAGAAATATCTTATCGCATCTAGAACATCAGATTTGCGGGCAGAATGCTGACGCGGTATTGCAGATGTTGATAGTGCTGCAAGGTATCACGCAGCCAATGATCGAATTAGAGTACAAGAACCCAAACAAGCATATCAAAGGTATCAGCTTGGCGTCCGCCATTGGTCTCCTGGTGGGTGCACTCTTTTGGGGGTTTTTGGCGGACGTGATAGGTATGCTTCACTCATGCATTCCTATCAGACCAATCGTACGAGGTGGAATCGAGAGCTCCGATAACTGATGTTTGGGAACCTGAATCTAGGCCGCAAGGTTGCTTTCAACAGCACTCTTTTCATATGCGCTATCGCGACCATTCTGGCTGGCGCCATGCCAAATTATGTGTCGTTTGCAACATTGTAAGTGATTTTTCATGGCTATGGCCTATTCACCAAACATGAGGTGAAAGCTGACGATGATCCGCTCTATAGCGTAGCGATCGCAGGTTTCAGCGCAGGGGGCAACTACATTCTTGATTCCACAGTCTTCCTCGAGTTTGTGCCTTCCAACAAGGCATGGCTGGTGACCTTACTTTCCATCTGGTGGGCAATCGGATATACCGTATCGGGTCTTTTCGCGTGGGCCTTCCTGAGCAACTACAGCTGTACATTAGCCCCAAAAGGCAAAACGCAATTACCTTGCCATCGTGCCGACAACATGGGCTGGCGGTATCTACACTGGTCATTAGGCGCTCTGGTCTTTGTGCTTAGCATCTTGCGATTAACCGTCCTACGGCTCCAGCATTCTGCGAAGTGGCTTATTACGCAAGGCCGGGACTCGGAGGTTCTCGACACCCTCCAAAAGATAGCTACGACATATAGACGACCCCTCAGCCTCAAGCTCGAGGATCTGTTGGCTTTGGGAGAGGTGGCAGATGCGCGCACATCAGTATGGTCTCCCCGACGGCTCAAAGCACATGTCGGGCAGCTCTTTCAGACTCACAAGTTGGCCTACTCAACCTCCATGTTATTCCTCGTATGGGCGATTATCGGCATCGCATATCCTCTGTTCTATGTCTTCCTGCCATACTACCTCGCCTTGCGTGGATACCAGGCGGGGAAAAGCAGCAACTACATTACCTGGAGGAATTTTGCGGTCAACCAAGTTTGCGGGCTGTTTGGACCCATCATCGCTGCGTGGCTGGTCCAGCAGAGATTTGTGGGCAGAAAGGGTACTCTGGCTATAGGAGCGCTACTTACGATGGCCTTCCTGTTTGGGTACACGCAAGTCACTATATCGGAGCAAAATCTTGGTCTCGTTTGCGCGATCAGCGTTGTGTCGTAGGTACTCCCGGGGAAGCTGGACGGATCACGGCTAAAGAAAGTGGTAGTAACATCTTCTATGGCACACTCTACGCCTACACACCGTAAGTCATACTTGACATGCTCTGTTTGTCGAATGAATGAGCTAATTCTGGTTGCAGGGAGATTTTGCCCTCAGCCCATAGAGCAACGGGAAGCGGCCTTGCGGTCGGAGTAAATCGCGTAATGGGAATAATTGCAATTATTGTGGCAAGCTACTCGGATGTCACAACCACGGCACCGCTGTTCATATGCGCTGCTCTATTTTTCTTCCTCGCTGTTGCCTCCGTGCTCCTTCCCTTTGAGCCAAGAGGTAAGAAGGCCGCCTAGGGTATACAAGGCTTTCTGCAAAAACTGTAGCTAAATGGGGTACAACGGTGAACAAAGGCCTTATTTGAGCGAACTAGTTATTAAGGATCTTCGGTGACATTTCGTCGGTCTTGATACGTACACATTGCTTAGTAATACCACCTACTCAAATGAACCCACGTAAGAACCCTCATTCTCAGCTTCCTGCCGGACAAATCTCCACATCCTCATCCCTGTCCTGTAATTCACCACACTACCATGTCTCACTCCCCTTTCCCCAACCGTATCGAACCCTCCACAAAAGAAGTAGTCATCCTCTTCAACAGTACCTACATCGCCCGCTCCAATTCCCCCCTGCTGGTCTGGGAAGTACCCAATAAACCCCCGCTGTACTACGTCCCCGAGAGCTCTCTGCTCAAGCAGACGGGGATAGTAGAGATCAAACCTCTGACGCTCAATGGTTTTACGGATGATGGAGATACTACCCTTTCTAAGGGCGAAGGTGAGAGAGGGGGGAAGGAGGGGAAGGAGGGAAAGAGGAGGTGGGAGGCGTACGAGTTGGTTGTTGCTGGGAAGAAGACATATTTCACGGTCTTTAGGGTAAGGAGGGAGCAGGGGGGAGGGGGAGGGGGAGGGGGAGGGGAGGAGGGGTTTTTGAGGTTTGAGTTTGGTGAGATGGGTATGTTACTCTATTAATCCTTCCTTCGCATCTGCGTTTTTCTTTGGACGGATAGCTCTTTTATGGAGCTCTTGCCTTCAAATGTTGCTACTGTTGGAAGCCTGCTCTGTGAGGGTATCGTTTGGATTCAGCTGCTTCGAGAAATCCCCCTCGACAAAACATTCTCTTACACACCAATGATATTGAGTATGGCGAATCATTCGATAAGTGCTACTTCAAGAAGGCTCGTCTGTTCAATAAACCCTTACAAGAAATCCCTGATCAAAAATTGCCTCAACGTCCATTTTCCATCAACTATCTCCCGTTTCTATCGCGTAAACTCCCGCTCTAAGCTAATTCCTGACCCACACAGACGCATGGTTCGAAAACGGCTCCCTTGTACGCCTTCCACCAAAGAACCCTTCTCGCCGCATTGATACCGCCTTCATCTCTGCCAACATCATTATCACGATTGGTGGAACGCTCGTAGCTGCGGCAGACAATGCCGTGGTGCTATACGAGTCCGGATTGCCTCCACGATACTATCTGCCAGCAACCAGCGTGACGGACTGGGCTTTGTTGAAACAAAGCGGGAAAGTGACTGCGTGTCCATACAAAGGTGAAGCAAGGTATGTGACCCCTAACTCCTGTCTCTTTCTCGTTGTTCTCCTGCCATTAAAGATTGAAGGAAGTTATATATCCTATGATATCCCTCTAGCATTGAAGGGATGGATATGAGACGGTCTGCTAAGATAAGCTGCTCGGTGATATAGGTATTTCTCGGTCGATATTGACGGCCAGAGCTGGGAAGATGTTGTATGGTACTATCTCTACCCTATTGCGGAAAGCGGACCTATCGTAGGAAGACTGGCTTTTGTGACTGGGAGAGCTGGCGTAAGCGTCACTATCAATGGTGACGAACTTGACGTATAAGCTTGAGACGAAAAGTTGATTCGCATGGACGGTGAGGTGTTTGTTGGGTCAAGAACATGCAGCGTGAAACAAGGAGCAACGATATGACATGAAAACAAGCTTACGATATTGAGCGCGCAATCGCTGTCTGGCTGCAATACAAAGGGGACTAAAGATTCTTTTGGATGAAGGTAGTTCTAGTTAGAAGGATGTTTTCAATTCTAAGTGCGAGAGGCCTATGTGGCATTCGTGTAGGGGATATTCTCTTTATGACCTACTATAATTAGAACGGACCTAGCATGTTTGCAACTTTCTGAGATCGTGCTTAGCCCCGTTTACCCTTTAGAATCTCAAAAAGTGAAAAGTTACCTTTTTTACCTTAGTTAACGGACTTTCCTTAGTTATAATTTTTTTCTAATCAGTTTTTTTACTTTTTTTAATATTTTTATTCTGTTTAAAGCTTAGTAGCTAAGCATCGAATAATAAGTCAAAATTTTTTGAATATTATAGCTAAAATTTAAAGAAATATTTATATTATATTATAAGTCTAGTTATAAATAATTTAACTTAAAGATTATATATTTATCTAATTTCACTATTAGTACTATAATTTAGTTAAATAGCTAATAACATTTAAATAAAGATGTTAAAGTATAATTATATTAATTATGTTTCTATAAGTTGTTAGTCTAAAGGCCGCGCGGCTAGCTGCGTTATTATTGCCGTCTTCGCCTCCTACGATCTTGACTATCGGATAGTTAGACAGTGAAATAATGGCATAAATTTGAAATTAAGTCTTAGCAAGTCGCATAGGTCACAGAAAGTTCTATTAATCTATATGTCTCTCACTTTGCCTAGTATTCACTCCATTAAGGTTCTCGCAATCTTCCTCAGTAACTCCTTATCTGCTACTTGCATAAGGAAGCTTCTATATGTCGTTGCTATATAAAGTGCAGAACTCTTTAATTACAATGCGTAAAGTCATCGTCGTCTCTCTGCTGGCGCGTAGAACGACAAGGTAATCCTGCTCCGCAATTCTCCTTACAGAACGTACAAAATGTAATAAAAACATATCGCAATCGCGTTGTAACAGCCCAGAGCATAGTTGCAGTCCACTCTACCCCACCGACCTCAAAATGACTTTACGCGAATGGCCTTCGCCGCTCGTTAAAAAGGGTCGCTGTCATTAGGATAAGAAGGGTTTGACAGTCCATGGCTTCACTAGGGCCGAGCGGTCAAGCCCACGAGAGACAATGTTCCTAATTTTAGTCCTAAAGTTAATAGCATCAACTCTCCGCACGTCAAGCAGCGTGATAATGCCAGAAGAACACATTGTTTAAGGGCCCTTAAGTGATCTCCTGCTACAAAGCAGACGAACACGCCCAGGAGTAAAAGATGCTGAGTCTTAAGATCTTACAGACTCAGACGGAAGAGTGGTTTGGGATTTTCGACTTTAACGTCATCGAAGGCATTAAGTTACTGGAAAATAATCCGTTCCGACTTTCCCAGCGTACAAAACGAGTCGATGGCCATCCTGAGGACGTCGATGACCAACAGACTCGTTACCACTATGGCTCTGAGGTTGAAAGCGAACCGTGTGACTGCGACCGCCGACACTGTGCCTTGGACAGCGAAGGGTGCAACTGCGTTAGTGCGGACTGCGACCGTCTGACCCCCAGCGAGGAGGCCGTCTATGACTTAGATCACTATCTTCGACATGACGGCGAACCAAGCGATGAGGAGAGCCTTCACAGCCCAAGGCTGCAATTTATGGAAAGGTATGCGTCGGAATACATCACACGGAAGCGAAGTCGAATCGCACGCTTCACCATTGCAACGGCGAGGTAAGAAGACAGCCGCAGGGGACATCCAGTCGAGCTCTCTTAGCAGTAATAAAGGTCGCATTGTTTTCATAGTTATGGAATCGAGCACGATGATTAAGGGATGGTTTGTATTGAGTCCGCCGGGCCCAAAGGTGAATTTCAAGGGCTACAAAGTCTCTGAGAAGATTCTCAATATTGTTGATAAGATAAGAGTGCTATACTAGGACTTAGAATGAGTATTATCCGCATCAGTGGCAACGTGAGAGGGTTGAGCGGTGGATAGCCGCGACTGGGAAGGCAGTAGGGAGTCCTTAAGTTGCGACTATCAGGAGATGCTTGGTTCGAGATATTAATAATTTGATACTCGCTGGGGTGAGACCAGGCTTGAGTGTTTGTGGGGTACAATCTACCTGATTCGCTATGCGTAAGTCGGTTTAGGATACAGCTTATCAGTCTTGGGACATCGGGTCCTCCTTTGTGACAATCATTTTCGTTGAAAGCATTGCTGAACGTGGGCGTGGAATGGAGGCGACAATAAGGCTCTAGTCGTATCGGACTTAGGAGGTCCGTATGGCCTCTATGCCTGTTGATGACCGTGGCTTGATAAGACTCAATTCGGGCGGATTTTGCCGTTCAATGTCATTTAAAATCGCATTGCTTGTCCAAAGACTCAGACTCAGCTTTCTTCCTTGAACTATTGTCGAAATTCTGAATGCTCAATTAATTGGGTAGCGTTCGCGCGCCTATTCGATTGCCACAACATCGGTTATCGCATTATTCGAGCCCCCTGACTACCAGGACCCGTCAAATTCGGGCTTCCCTAGAATTTTGGTCGTTGCAATCGTTTATTTGTCCCACTTCAAATCCTGCATCACCTACAAGTGGATGGTGAATTTTGACCATTCCACTGTGCTATTAGACAATGCTTACGTTTCAGCTTGGGCATCCAGAGCTTTTGAGCAGCCATCAGTGGAGGCAGCGAATCGTTCCTCTAATTTCGCCTTTGCTCCAAATTCGGAGGCGTATCTTGCACCATACCGCATCTCTGACGCGAAGTCACATGACGCTTGAGTCAGCTAAATCCGATAACGCCGAAGATGACGTAACTTATCTTGGCTAGGAATTGTCTTGTGAATAATGTGTCGTACAAAACCATCAACTTCACTTTTCCTTCCATCACCTGAGATGTCCAGCACGTTAGTCTCTGATCATTCTCTTTTGCAACAATGGCAAGACTCTGGCCATTGCGAGTCACTGACCCAGGACGACCCTGAGCCATCTTCAACATCTGTAGGCAGGCTACATCTTAGCATGCTCCCTTTTGACCGTCAATGTGTAGTCGAACAAGCCTGCTTCTACACCGCACTTTCACAAGACTCTCACTTCTGAGCTCATAAACCCAAACGCAAATGACGCAAGTGGAGTGACAGCACTCCAACCAGCTCTGCTTCTCCCTTCCTTGATCCAAGTAATTCACCCAATTGCTGATGTTCTGCTCATCGACGAGAAAGGTCGCTGACTTCGTGCAGGAAGTTGATCGTTGCGAAGAGCATCCCGATCCCAACGGTCCTGCATCACAAGATAAACTTCCTCTCTCTAGACCAAGTGCACCACTCACTTCCCAGAATCTTCGATCCATTAAGCGCCACCGTTCCTACACCCCTGAATCATTATCTTCAATTTCAGGGGCTTGTTCTGAACCCGACACTGAAATCTCACACTCTTTGGACACCCATTCGCATCTATCTGAGTCACTCACAATGCCAGAGACCAACTCGGTTGTGGCGATGCGCAACCTGCTTGATATGAATCATATTTATATTGACAAGGAGCTTGCTAGAGAACAAGGCAAAGCTATCATCACAGGAGCTGGCAAGATTCTGGACGGTAAACGAGGATCTGATTGGTCTGGATCGAAAGCAGGTAGGATTCAGAGGGTAATTCGTTACAACAAGGATCAAAATGAAGCCACGTTTATCAACCAAGTCTTCAACGCGCTTTTAGGCTTCGAACGTACAGTGCCTGTGGACGATATAGACGCTAATCGCGATTATATTGATGCTGCTTGGGATAAAGACTTCCTGCGATCTAAGTGGGATACGGAATTCGTTGGTGATGGACCGCCAAAACTCACGATTCCAGAGGGGGAGGAAAAGTTCTGGAAAGGCATACTGGCTCTATTTCCAAGGATCACAAACCCTAAACCAGACATTTCCTACTCTGTTGATAGCACTGCCTACGATGAACGCTTGAAGGTGAAAATGCTTCTAGACGCTGCTCGTTGTCAACTAGGCGGCCGCGAATGCTATCATACTTTTTTCGCTGTAGAGTGTAAGTGTATAAACAGTTCCATTCAAGCGGCAGAGAATCAGGATATGACGGACGGCGCCACAATGTGCGAGCAATCTCGCCGCTGCCGCCGCGCCTTCAAGACAGGCAACAAGGAACGGTCGTCACATTCCGTCACTGAACCCACCCCTGACAAGGAAAACTTCGTCTTCACGATGGCAGTTGCACCTGACCAAGCAAAAATCTACGTCAACTGGATACTAGTCCATCCACCAGCTATCGATACTTTTCACATGCATCACCTTAGAACCTACATGTACAACGATGAGGATCAAATCACTGCCCTCCACCACGATATCGACAATATCCTCGACTGGGGAATTGGCAAGCGCAAGGAAGCTTTTGACACACTGGCCGAGGAATGTGTCCTGAAAGGAATCTTGCCCGAAGAGCCCTTGCCGGGGCCTCCCAATGCGAAGAGACAAAAGACCGGCAGTGGAAGCGGATCCTGAATCATAGCCTTGAATGTACATTGCTCACACATAATACTGACGTAGCATTTGAGATCCAGCATCGTTCTATAGCAACTAAGGAGGGAAACAGATTCTCGCTGCCTTGGAAATCTGTCCAGGATGAGGCAGCCTAGCGAGTTGAAGATGAAGAAGAGGAATAGTACGTGTCTTATGGGATGGAACCAGTACTTGCGCTGACGCATCGCAGGCAAAGCAAAAAACAGCTTGCTACAAAGAAAAAACGCGAGCGGACCGAACCATTTTCGACGGTGTGTGTCAACGAGATATAGTGGAAATGACGGTTGAATCCATGAGATTGACATCCTGTGACTGCGCGATCCACATCTCCCCCCATCCTCTTAAGCAATACCACAGCACACTTTACGAGGCAAACCATCCTATTTCACTTCCTGCAAATCGGATGCTTTCTTCTCCACTTGCTCTGAAGATCTGACGCCTTATGTCTTCGATGCGCTCGATGTCTAACCCCCTTTCCCTGCAAGTAGACAGAATTCAAGCCTCAACCCTCCACGCATCTGCCTTTCGAGCGTTGAAGTACTTCTTCATCTGTTGCGGCTGTTCAGGCCTTCTTTTCTGCAAGGGATATGGAGATATCAAATCCTGAGTGGACTGATCTGAATGACGTCCGCGAGAGGCAAGCTTGATTAAAGAACAGTTCTGAGGGTATGATGGTTGTCCATTAAATACACTCCTTTGAGTAATTACTACGCATGGAAGGCACTCCCCTATTACCAGTCCGCGCAATATGGCGTCACCCATTGGCTTGGCGCTGCCGGCGTTGAAAAGAGTCTATAGGTCGGTAGACCAACGCTAAAGCTCGGCTAACCAACGCTAACCTAAAAATTTTAGCGGATTTAGCTTATTTAGTAGTATTTAGCGGATATTTAATTAGTCTACCGAGGTAAAAACTATTAGAATTAATTATTAATTAATTTTATTTAATTTTTAACTTTAAAATAAATTTTTAAAAAATAATTATATAATTATTTAATAAATAATTATTAATTAATTTCTAATTAATTCTCTAATAATTTTCTTAGAGAAGATTATATAAAATTTTTAGAGAAATAATTATTAATTAATTTCTAATTAATTCTCTAATAACTTTCTTAGAAAATACTATATAAAATTTTTAAAGAAATAATTATTAATTAATTATTAATTAATTTTTTAAGAATTCTCTTAGAAAATACTATATAAAATTTTTAGAGAAATAATTCTTAATTAATTTTTAATTTATTTTTTCTAAAATTTTAAAATTAAATAAAATAAATTTTTAATTAATTTTAAATTAATTATAAATTATTTCTCTAAGAACTTTCTTAGTAAATTCTAAAGAAATTTTCTAGAGAAATAATTTATAATTAGTTTTAAATTAATTTTAATACTTTAAAAACTATTTTAATTAATAAACTTAAATAAGCTTATTAGATTATAAAGTTTATTAGTATAAGGGATTTATTTATATATTAAATCTTTAGATTAGTATTAGTTAGCTAAGCTTTAGTATTAGTCTTTTAACTTATAAATTTATTAAAAAGGAGAATTTAGAATTTAGGCTATAAACTAGTATATCTAGATAATTAAACTCTAAAATAATATAGATATATATTACTAGAGCAACTACTAACACTATATTATATACTATATAGCTAAGATATATTTCTATAATTTCTCCTTCTAATAATTATTATAAGTTTACTAATTAAATTACTTTATTCTATTTAAATTAAGTTTTTAACTAATATATATAGCTCCTTATACCTTTTATATAATTCTCTATACTAAATAGTATTAGTAATAGTTATAACTATTAGTTTTTAAGTTAAAACTAACTAATAAAAGGGTCTTCTTATATAAATTATTAGTTAATAAAGTAAAAATTAAACTAACTAATAATACTATTAATTAACTATTAGTTTTAAATATAAATATAGTAAATTTTAACTATTTTATAGTATTTTTATTTTATATATTTTATAAATTATTTATATAGCTAAATTACTACTTTTTATATATTATTTTATAATTTAGTTAGAAAAAACTTTTAAATATTTATAGTAAGCTATCTTATTACTAGTTTAACTTTTTATAAAGTTTTATTTAAAAATAATTAAAAACTTTAATATATTTAAATAATATAATTTATTATATAGAAATATTATTATATAATAGTATTTATTATAATTTTCTAAGTTAAGTATATATATATTTAATTATAATATTATTTATAATATAATAAACTAATATAATAATATAGGACTAGGCTTTTTTTTACTTAGTTTATATTATTAAAAGAATTTATAATATTTTTAAGTTTTTTATTTATATAAATTCTTACTTTAAGTTAGTTTATTAAATATTTTAAATATTTAAGTATTTCTAAATTAATATAACTTTTAATAAAAGTAATTACCTATTTTAATAATAAGAATATTTACTTTACTTTAACTAATATAATTATATATTAATAATATATTAATAACTATTTTATATAATAAAAAATAGTAACTTTAAATTATAATTCAATATTATTATTTAAAGGTTAAAGCTAATTTAAAGGTTTTCTTTAATTTTTTAAAATAATATTATAGCTTATTTTTATTTTTATAAATTTAAATAATTTATTTATTTTTTTAAATATAGATATAATTAATTATAATTTCTTTTTAAAATATTTTATTAATAATATTAATATTTTTCTAGTATTTAATATTCTATATTATATAAAAAGTTTCTAATAATTTTTTTTATTATAATTTTTTTATAAATTAAATAGCTTAACTTTCTAGCTAGGGTTAAATATATAAATAATAATATAAATTAATATTTTTAATTTAAAATTTTTAATAATTAATTAGCTTAATATAATTAATATTAATTATAGCTATTAAATATTTATTATTAATAAATTTATTTACTATTTTTTTATAGTAATAAAAAAAATATATAAAATAATATATTTTTAATAATAATATTTTAGCTTTTTATTACTTTAATTATATTATAAGAATTTTTAAAAAATAAATAAATTAATTTAAAATTTAATTAATTAATAGATATAAATATATTTTTTTTAAAAATCTTATTATTAATAAAGAATTTAATAATTATATTTTTAATATAATATAATAATTAGTTAATTATAATATATTAGGAATTTTATTATTTTTTAAGTAAAAATTATTATTATATATTCTAAATATTTATAAATATTAAGGTAAAAAGTTAATTAAACTAATAATATTTTTATTTATTAATAAATAGAAAAACTTAAACTAAAAAATTAATAATATAAATAATATACTAAAGATAATACTATTTCAAAAGATATTACTTATAATTAAGATTTTTTATATTATTAGCTATAATTTAAATTATTATATTATTATTACTTTTACTATTTAATATAAAGTATTTAAAATAATTTTTATTTTTTAATTTATTAAAAAATTAAAAAATTATACTATTAATATTTATACTAGTATAAGTACTTTATAGTTTTTTTAAGCTAAATAAGAATATATAGTATTTTAAGTTTTTATTAGTAAAGTAAGCTATTACTATTTAAAGATTATAATTATTTAGTAATATTTATTGATTAGTTAAAATATAAATATTAAATATAATTTTTAAAAAAAGTATTTAAATATATTCTAAGCCTATTATATAGAGTACTTTAATCTATATTTTTATAATATTATAATTATAAATAAAAATATTCTTAGTAGTAGGATTAAAATACTTTATAAATAATTAAAAAATATTATTTTTAACTTAATTAAATTTAATATTACTAAAGATAATTTAATTTAAATAAAAAAATTTAAATATATACTAATTATATAATAATTGTTTGCCTATACAAAGGCTATATAATAGTTAACTTAAGTTATATATAAGCTAGGTTAGCTTAGTAAGTAGTAATAAGCTATAGATATAAAAGAAAATAAGCTTTAAGTAACGAACTTAAATACTATAATAATAATATAATTTATACATAGAGCTTTATTAGGGTATTTAATAATAAATATATTAATAACTAAAAAATAAACTATTTATTATTAAATAAATAATATTATATATTAAATAATAATTATATTATTCGTATTATAATATAGGCTTTAGTATATATATTTTATAAATATTATATTATAATAAGCAGGCTTAATTAGTTTCGCTAAGCTAATTAATAATAAATATTTTTTATTCTTCTAGCATAGTTAGTATACTATATAGCTTATAAAACGTAATATTACCCCTTTATATTACTTTTTAAAATTTCTTAGTAATAGTATATATAAGAAGTAATAGTCCCCGCGATTTCCTTTTTATTTTGCAATTTTTTTATATTCTTTTATTATATTTAATAAAATTTACTAGTGTCGACTTTATATATTTAAGCTTTATTAATTTTAAAATAATAAAATACTTTTCCTATATTCTTTTTATAAGAGTTTAGGTAAGGGCACTAAATATTATATTCTTAATAACTAGGATTTTTATAAGTCCTATATCCTTTCTAGTCACTTTTATTAATATAATATTTTTTTTTAATTATATATATATGTTTTTTTTTTTTTTTTTTTATTGCGTTTAACTTATAAAACTAGGGAACTATATCTAAAAAAAGAAAAAAGAAATTTATAAAAAGCTTAAGGATTTAGTTCTTTATAATTCCTATAAAGGAAAGGAATTAGCTTATTATTATTAAGAGTTAACAACTAATATCGTGAAGTAAAAAAGGCTTTCTAATATTTATTCCTCCCTTAATTATTATAAAAAAAATATAGTTAAATAAAAAGCTAATGTCCTTTATAAGCTTATAAAGCTAGAAGATCTTATTATTAAGTTAAATAATAGCTTTTTAGTCGCTATTAATCTGTTTTTTAATTATTTATTAATAATATTTTCTAAAAAAATTAATTAAATAATTGCTAATTTCAATTTTAATACTTTTTTTTTTATTTAAGGCCGCT